GTTCTCAGAACGGCAATCCCCGGCAGGCACGGCAGGCCCGCTCCGCCGCGCACCGCAAGGCCCGCCGCGCGGCACGGCGCCGCCACGTCCCTCTACACTCCCCCTCGCCCCCAAAAACAACAACAACAAAAAAACAACAACAACAACAACAGCAGAACGCACAACAAGACACGGCGTCAGCAGCAACAACAGCAGCAACAACAACATAACGGCGCGCACGCTGCGCACGCTGCCTCGCGGTCTAGACGACGAGCAGCCCCGCTCCGTTTCCAGTCCGGGCACGTGGCGCCGCAGGCTGCCTCCGCGTCGCTCTGTCTCTGTCGCACTCGCGGCGCGTCCCGGAGGACCCGCAGGACCCGGGGACGTGCGAGAGAGAGACAGAGCGACGCATCAACGCTCCTCGGAATCGCTCGCCAGGTGGGCGGGGGCGCTCACTTCGCCCCTTCGCTGCTTAGGTACCCCCCCCCCTTTTCCTCTCGGCCCGACAGGCCCGACCCGTGTCGACGTGACCTTTAAGGGCCGGCCCATCCGACCCTTGTTGCGGGTGCGAACCGCGCGATGAAGTTGTCGCGCCGCTGGAATCATGGAAGGTCAGAGTGCGTGCCACGAGCCGACTACGTGTGACGCACCTCGACGCACGCCGGGCGCGGAGAGGGAGGAGCTTCCCCTGCACAGTGGGCCAGAAGACCGGTACAGGCGGCCAAAACTCTACACGCGTGCAGAGCTCCAGAGTGCTAAACAGGACTCGAACCGAGCGTGTGACCCCACCAATGGATTCCTCGTTCCGAGAGCAATCCATTGGTGGGGTCACACGTTCGGTTCGAATCCCACTTAGCGACTCTAGAGCTCGAAATCCGTCCGGGATTTTGACCGCCACCAACAGCCTTCTGGCCAGCCGTGGGGCGGTGGGGGTGGGCGCAAAGGTCTGCTGAAATTTTAGGCGAAACGTTTCAGCTCGAGTGTACAGTTAAGGCTCGGCGTATACGATGCGCACGAGAAGAGGCAGACCACAGGCATTTATCATGCAATTTTTTTTTTTCGTTCATTTTTTTTTTCAAATTGCGACGCAGCAGCGTCCACGCGCCGCCTGGGGGCGGCCGGGCAGCCAGCCGGCCCGGGCCCCACCACCGTGCGAAGCAGCGGACTGCAACGGACGCGGCTGTAAAACAATACTGCCCAGTTTATGAAGGCCGTGGGCAGCTCCCCCTCCCCCCCCCCCTTTTCCCTCCTCGCCATTGCCCCGTCTACCCCCCGCAGCGTCCCACCCCCTTTAAAACTCCCACTTTGCTGCATTGCCCCGCCCCGTCCACACGTCGCACTGGCCGTCATCACCACGAGGGTCACGGCCATCACCGCGTTGTCGCGCCGCCACGCTCGTCATCACCCCACAGGCCAGCGTTTCTCAACCTTTTTCGGTTCGCGACCCCAAATTTGTAGCGAAAAATTTCCGCGACCCCTAGGAAAAATTTCGCAACCCCACGCGACCCCTCCTTTAGCATGCCTTTGATACAAAGTGCGATAATCCACCTTAGTTTGGAAGCAGTATTGCAGCAAAAATGATCAAAACGGTCACAAATGTCTTTGAAAAATCGTGTTTTGAGCCGACTTTAAGCAGCCACTGCGTCTAATCCGAGGCGGTATGCCGTCCTCCCTCAACGGGCATTTGGTCTTTGGACCTTCCTTTAGCATGCCTTTGTTACGGAGTGCGAATCTACCTTAGTTTGGGAGCAGTATTGCCGCAAAGTTGATCAATACACGATTTTTCAGACATTTGTGACCGTTTTGGCGCCTGGCGCTGCCTTGGACATCCCGCATCGGATTGACCGCAACGCGCCGCAACGGGGCAGTGTGGGAGGGGGTGGACGAGGTCCATGTGGTGCGCAGAACCTGCTGCGGCATGTCTCTGATCGCGGCGGCCGAGACGAGACCAGTGGGGCGAGGCGGGGTGGGGTGAGGCGGGGCGGAGTGAGGCCGGGTGGGGTACAGCGAGGGGACGCTAGATGTGACCGCCTCCATTTTGACGACAGACGCGCACAAACTTGTGCAAGGCTATTTTCGGAACCGAGTGGGGCACAAAGCGGCCAATCGGGTACGCCATTACAGGCCAGCCTCAGCGAGCCTCGGCCTGCAGAGCCTTCGCCGCCCCGCCGTCCGTCTCTCTCGCACCGACGGGGCGGCCCGCAGGCACCCGCAGGACGCGTGGGCGCAGCCAAGGCGCAGCACAGTGGGCCAGAAGCCGGTGGAGGCGGCCAAAACTCTAGACGCGTTTTGAGCTCCAGAGTCGCTAAATGGGACTCGAACCGAACGTGTGACCCCACCAATGGATTCCTCGTTCGGAGAGCAATCCATTGGTGGGGTCACACGTTCGGTTCGAGTCCCATTTAGCGACTCTGGAACTCAAAACGCGTCTAGAGTTTTGGCCGCCTCCACCGGCTTCTGGCCCACTGTGCGCAGCCAAGGCGCAGCGGGCCGCCTTGGGGAATGCAGTGTGCACTGCACTTGAGGCGGCCGACGTCCCTTCGTCCCGGTCTCTGCAGACTGATTCCGAGAGTCTCGCTCTGTCTCTCTCGCACCCGTACGGGACGCCCCATGAGTGCGGCAGGGACAGAGCGACGAGGACGACTCTCCTCGGAATCAGTCTGCTGCAGATTGGAGGAGACGAGACAAGACGAACCGGCCGCTGCGGCCAGACTGTCCGACGGGCACGCCGATGCCTTCTTGTTGCACCATGCACGCCACCCTCGCCAATGTCTGTCTGTCTGTCTGCCCGCCTGTCTGTCTGTCCGTCCGGCCTGTCCGTCCGGCGCGGCCTGACTGTCCCTGTGTGACACGTCGCGCCCCTTTACGGCTCCATTCCGCTTCCCAGTAATCCCATTCCAGTGCCCCCCGGGGAGGCGTGGGGCCCTGCGCAGCGAGCCAGCCCACGTCATCTCGCCGATCAGCGATAGAAATCGAGCTCCATAAAGAGACGCGCGGCCGGAGTGGCAAGGCTCTTTCTGAACGGCGTCGTCGTCGCTCTGTCTCTCTCGCACCCCCGCGGGACGCCCTGCGAGTGCGAGAGAGACGGAGCGACGAGGGCACCACACTGCCGAATAAGGTCGCGACGGAAAGGGCGGGAAAGTACGACACGGGGCAAATTGAATAGACGCGAGAAGTAAGGGTCCCCGAACCGTCTGGTACTCTGCTACCACCAGCAGGCTGATTCCGAGAGTCGTATTCGTCGTTTCGTCTCACTCGCACCTAGACGGGACGCCCCATGAGTGCGAGAGAGGCAGAGCGACGAGTATGACTATTGCGGAATCAGTGTGCTGGCGCGCGTGGCAATGTCCTCGCTGTTCTCGTGGATTGCCGGGGCGGGCCGGGGCGGGGCGGTCCACCCTGGCCGGCGAACTACTACACCGCAAGCCGCACGTCATTTAGAGACATAATATTGACTCCAGCGGCAGCGGCCGAGGCGGCGGCCACGCCCCGGGCCTCATCACGTTAATTTGCCGCAGCCAGGGCCCAGCGGGCCGATTTCGAGACTCGGACTCGTCGCTGTCTGTCCCTCTCGCACCCATAAGGGACGCCGCGTGAGTGCGAGGGAGACAGAACGACGAAAACGATTCTCGGAATCAGTCTGCAGGGCCCGGGCATGGCCCAGGGGCGGAGCGAAACGCTAAACGGGCACGAAGGGTGCCGCCGTGCCGTGTGCCATCACCCCGCCGGCCTCGCCCCGCCTCGCCCCGCCGCCCGGCACAGAGGGGGTGTGCACTCGGGTCACCTGTCCACGGTACCACACACTGCAAAGCCATGGGCCAGTCTGGGCTAGTTCGCGGGTCCACAACATTGGCAAGCCGTTTTGAAACGCCACACATTGGCAAGCCTGGTCCTGAAATAGTACTGCTCAGCTTTTGAAAATTAAGCATTGCAGGAGGCCAGAGTAACCAAGCATGTGGTTTATGGCCTGTCTCTAATCAACCCGATATCGTCTCAAACTATCCTCAAGCACACCCAAAACTGGGTCAAGTTACCCCAGAATTGACTACAGTTACCCAATTGACTACAGTTAGTGCTTAGGCAAGTACACGCCTCGAAGTGCAAGCTTGTAGCGACTCGAGGAGTGTACTGAGTACACACGTTTTGTGTATACATTTCAGGCGGCTATCTGAAAGGGGAGGGGGAGGGGGGTACCCTTTTGACCCCCTCGGGATCCGCGCTCGCGCGGTGGTAAAATTTCGATAATATTATCGCACGCCTAAAAGGGACTTACGGTGTAGCGTAATAGGGCTTGACGGAATGTACAGGGTAAAAACGGTACCTGGCTTTCCCAGGAAGCCTATGAGAGACACAGGCGGTTTCCAGGGAGTTCCTGGGAAAACCAGGTTCCGTTTTCACCGTGTACCCAGCACGGTGACAGCTTTTGACAGCGCCTGTACCCCCTGCCTCGGCCGGTACCCACGCGGGCCGTCCTTGGCCGTCAGGCCAAACAAGGTGTGCTCGGTGTGACGCCGTGACGAGCGCGCGGCCCGGTGACGAGGGCCCTGCGTCCGCTAGGCCCCGCCCGCTAGGCCCCGCGCGTGATAAGGGACCCGTTGCGCAACACGCCGAAATTGGGGAGGGGGGGGAGGGACGAGGGGTGAGGCACTGTAAAATGTTGTGTACAATGACGTCGGAAACGTGCAAGAATGTGCGAGATTTCTGCCGTCTTTTGCCACACGTGTCGCCGCATGCCTACCTACAGGCGTTTTGGCTGCACGTGGAATTGGTTCAAATTTTGTGCAAGAAATGTGTGAAGTATATTCCCTCTTAGTATAGGGGGTGCACTGTGAAAAAAAGTCACAGGAAACAGTATGGGCCAGCCATAGGACGATTTTTATTTACATGGACTTATATGAGAAGCAATTTTTCTGGGAACAGTTTTTCTGTACTACACTGGTCTAACTGTAACTCTTACTGTCTGCAAAAAGTACGGCGTAAGTGTGGAGTTTTGTTTCTGGGAGGGTGAGTTGTTCACCTACCTTATTATTTTTGGCGTAGTACAGTTTGGTCCCCTGGAGCTTGAAGTACCGCCGCCGCCAGCGGCTGAAGGAGGACGTCTGCTTCATCAGGAAGCCCTCCTTGGCCACGGCCTGGAAAACGGCCAAAACAAAAAACCACATTCAAACTCGCGTTGTCCTCGTTTAATCTCACAGCCGAAGCCGGAGCCCCAATCAACCGGCCGAATGCCTTTTATTTGTTTTTGTTTTCCCATCGTCCAGTGTGGTGGTCTGCCAGCAGCCCGATGGCGTCCGCCGACACAAAGGCCGGCCAGCATCGCCAAATCTGCCAATAGTCCCGCCCGGACTGGCGGACCGAGAGCCGTTTTCGTCGCTCTGTCTCTCTCGCACCTCAGTTCGGGCCACGAGTGTGAGGGAGATAGAGCGACAAAAGCGACTCTCGGGCCGGCCGATACACGGCGTGCTATTGACAGAGTCGGACACGCCCCACTTATACGGTGCAGGCACACCAGGCCGCCATTATTGATATATCCGTTTCGACCGCCAAGAACCCGCCAGCCAGTCTCGTCTCGTTCGGCGCACGGCCATCCCGCCAAAAATATTAAAATACATTTTAAAAAAAAAACTTTGAAAAAAGAACATATAAACAGGAGAAACTGCACACACTAAATGCTTATGCACTTTCATTGTCCATGGCACAATTTTATACGTAAATTAGGGGCAATATTTCCATATTGTGCTTGAGTATTTATAAAATCGTACCTGACTTCTCGTGATTAATACACAAATTCGTACATAACTTACCATCCATAGTGATGGATAAGAATTAAGTGTGCTCAGAGAAGTGAGACGACAGAATCCGTAGGCTAACGATTCTCTTCTGAAAACGTTTCTCACGCGAGCCACATTATGAATCTGATTTTTATGACCGTGACACAAGCGTCCTCAGAAAAGGAAGAGAATGTCAAAATTTGACTTTTTTGCTGAGCGAAGCGAAGCACCCTGTTTGGGATTTTGAATAGCTCATTTGTCCGACCCCCCCCCCCCGATACCTTTAGTTTACAAGAGGTATCTTCCTCTGTTTATTTTTACTATATTCATATGCGTATACATAGTCGAAGCTCCATAGTCCAAGCTCCATAGTCCAAGCTCCATAGTCCAAGCTCTATAGTCCAAGCTCTATAGTCCAAGCTCCATAGTCCAAGCTCCATAGTCCAGGCTCCATAGTCCAAGCTCCATAGTCCATATTCTATAGTCCAAGCTCAATAGTCCAAGCTCCATAGTCGTACGCCACTAGGGATTTAAAGCCTGGTAAACTTACCAGTAAGAATGGGTAAAATACCGGTAATTTACGGTAATTTACTCTGCGAAAATCGGTAAATTACGGTAATTTTCGACTTAACCTAACCTTCCTGATGTTTTTACAGCTGAAATTTACTCAGAGTGCACAAAGGCATGAATATTTGGCAATAAAAGTGTCTCAACCACTTTCATATGCCTTTTAAAACACTCCGCTAGTCTAAAATTCCCTTTGAAAACAAATTATTAACAGTTTACATGCAAAAGTGCACGTAAACATAAGATCGAATTTTTCCGTTATTTACCGTAAATTACGGTAAATGACCAATGTTACCGTAATTTACCGTCCAGATTGAAAATTACCGGTAATTTTTAAACCCTATACGCCACGCTTCATAGGCCATTTAGTTTGAGAATAAGATCTGTCGCGAGTAGGGTATGATCTTTCGCGAGTAGAGTAAGATCTGTCACGAGCCCGTTAGGTTAGGTTAGAATTGGTTGGACCATTTAGTTTGAGAATAAGATCGGTCGAGAGTAGGGAAAGATCTGTCACGAGCCCGTTAGGTTAGGTTAGGATTGGTTGGACCATTTAGTTTGAGAATAAGATCTGTCGAGAGTAGGGTAAGATCTGTCACGAGTAGAGAAAGATCTGTCACGAGCCCGTTAGGTTAGGTTAGGTTTGGTTGGACCATTTAGTTTGAGAATAAGATCTGTCGAGAGTAGGGTAAGATCTGTCACGAGTAGAGTAAGATATGTCACGAGCCCGTTAGGTTAGGTTAGGATTGGTTGGAACATTTAGTTTTAGATTATTAAATAGCCTTCCGTCGATTCAAGGAGAAACCAACCATTGCCGAATCACAATCCTTCGCGCAAAAGCATACTTCCTGGCTATCACCCCCCCCCCCCAAAAAAAAAAAAAAAAAAAAAATTCCAATGCTAATCGCATTGCACGGTGTTCCCGTTTCCATAACTGGTTGAAAATCGAGGAAAACATGACAAGACAACCGCAGCCTTTGAGAGCATGCCAAACAATCCAACCTCAGCAACAATGGAGGGGCAGTTTCAATGCGCGCCTGTTCGTTCTTTCAGCCTCGCGATTTTCGAAAGGGCGCAGACGGCAAGCATATTGGTGCCAACCGACGAAAATTAATTTGATGTGTCGTTTCTGCTACGAACTTTTTAGTAGTGACAGACTTTAAAGATGTTCCAACGTTGAGACACCGTGCAATGTGTTAGCATTAGCATTTTCGAATTTCACGGCGTTTAGATTTTTTTAAATGGGCGACTTCAAATTTTGACGGGTGGTACGATGGGACCATGCCGTTGCCATGGAGATTTTTTTTCATGTTTTGACCATTTGCTCAGAACATATATGATTTCTTGTTACTTTGATGAGCCAGGAGGTTTAGTTTTGAGGAGTGGCACATTTTTTATTTGAACCATTTTTTCATATCATTAACGGTTCTCGTTTTCGATTGTTGCAAATTTATGTTTTTCGCGTTTACGGAAAATTTCCACGATGAATTTTCGAAAAAAATTGGAATTTTCGTTTTTTTTATGGTTGAAATAGTTTAGAGTTGTTTATTTGAAAATCGGAGAGGGGGGGGGGGAAGAATCCACGGACCTCGGACAATAGGGGTTCTTGGGAACCCCTAAAAAAGGCTCATTTTCAAAATAAACACATCCAAATTTACTACTGATGAAAATGCATTTCCATCTCCAGCAGAATCCAGCTCAGCATCGAGGCCGAAGGCCTTCCCCTGGCTAGTAAAATCTACGAAGTACTGGGATTCCGTTCCAGAATCTACGGAGACCAGTGTCGTTCCAGAGCCAAAAAAAAAATCAATGCGGTCCCATTTACCTGTCGATTTCTCCGTGGTTTGAGGCACACGAAGCAATACGGGTTCTGCCATTTCAATTTCCTGTAGGGGGTGGGGGGCAAGGGTGGGGGGCACATTAATCGTTCTCCACGTTGAAACGATTTGCAGGCTACCCAAAGGACCCGAGCGCGTTGGCTGTTCATTCCGCCCGCTTTCTCATTTTCACGGCAGCAGGCCGAGAGTCGTTTTCATCGCTCCGTCTCTCTCGCACTCATGGGGCGACCCGTGCGGGTGCGAGAGAGACGGAGCGACGCGAAGGGCTCTCGGAATCGGTCTGCAGGGCGGCCTTTCGTCTCGATTGAATTTCCGCGGACCGCTGAGCCGCTTTGGCCGCTTTGGCCGCTTTGGCCGCTTTGGCCGCTTTGGCCGCTTTGGCCGCTTTGGCCGCTTTGGCCGCTTTGGCCGCTTTGGCCGCTTTGGCCGTTTTCACCGCTTTTCGTGTTCCGCGAACGCCGCTCTGCCGCCTCCCTCGCGCCTCCGCGTCCGGCGTGCTCGGCCCCGTCGGCCCCGTCGGCCCGGGGACCGATTCCGAGAGTCGTTTTCGTCGCTCTGTCTCGCTCGCACACGTAGGAGACGCCCCAAGAGTGCGAGAGGGACAGAGCGACGAAAACGACTCTCGGAACCAGTCAGCTGTCCGCCACAAAAGGCCCAAACTAGCTAGCCCCCGCGAAGCGAAGGAGGAAACGGGGGAGGGGAAGGGGAGGGTGATGAAGAGGGGGAGGGAAGGGTGGGGGAGGCCCGAGGGGGTAAACACTTCAAGAAATCGTGTACAGACTACTCGGTATTACGCTGTATTACGGAGGTATTACACATGTATTACGGCCTTAAAATGCAAAAATTTGGCACATTTGACCCGAAAAAGGTATAACGACTAAGTGTATTACGCGTAATACACGGTTTTTGTGTACAGGGTATTACGCGAGTGGTTACCCCCTCGGGGAGGCCACGACGGCGATACCCCGCGCCGCTCCATTAGGTGGCTATTTTTAACCGTGCCACGCCGCGCCGCGCCACGCCGGCACAACACACGGGCTGGTGAATGACCGATGCACCACCACCTCCTCGCAAGCAAGCGAAGCAAGGCACAGCGAGGAATCCCTCGCACTAACGCAACGCTCTGTCTTTCTCGCGGGATCGCTGAGTCATAACTGGCGTCCTTAAAAACGGCACGGAAATGGCAAAGGCTTGGATGCGAAGTTCAAAAGTCCTGAGCTTCGAAAGTTTTCACATGGCGCACAGTGGGCCGGAAGACCGGTTGAGGTGGTCCAAATCTCAGACGCGTTTTGAGCTCCAGAGTAACTAAACAGGACTTGAACCGAGCGTGCGACCCCACCAATGGATTGCTCTCCGATCGTGGAATCCATTGGTGGGGTCACACGCTCGGTTCGAGTTGTGTTTAGTTACTCTGGAGCTCAAAACGCGTCTAGAGTTTTGGCCGCCTGCGCCGGTCCTCTGGCCCACTGCGGCGGTGCAAAACAGCTATGAGCCTTCCTCATTTCACAATCCAAGTCCACAACATAATCCTGCAAGTTTTAGTTTGCCTTGTTGAGACAAATCCATTTCTGTAAGTAACAGTAAATAATTTGGTCAATTTTAGGAATTCCCTTTACTAAATCTTTAATGGCTGAACCTGTTGAACCAGGAGGGATGGAGGACGCTTGTGTCGTTCGTTTCCGGGACCAACAAATTCAGATTCATTTCCTGACTCGCTTCCTGGCGTTTTCCGTCGAGAGCCGTTCCGGATTTTGCCGCTCCAATTTGACTGTGCGTCGAGCCTGCAGAGACAAAGCACGCGCGCGCTGTGAGAAAAAAGTACGGAACATGTCTGGCGATGTCTGGTCAATAATTTGCCTGGAGCGTCCGTACTTGCCAACTACGGAACGTTCCGTACTTTTCTCCGTGCCTCCGTACTATATTTTTCTGTACCATTTCCGTACAAAAGTACGGAATTTTTTTACAGTGCGGGGAAGGGGGCCTTTCCCTTTTTTTATCAAGCGGGGCGTGTCCTACAGTGTGCTACACCCTAATGCCTCGCATCACGTCAATGTGGCAGTAATGAGGTCCAGCATCGTCCACCGCGTCCGCGGGGCGCGCCATGCGGGCAGCAGACTCATTCCGAGAGTCCTTTACGTCGCACTGTCGCTCTCGCACTCGCGGGGCGTCCCGTATAGGTGCGAGAGGGACGGAGCGACGAAAAGGACTCTCGGAATCAGTCTACAGTTTGACGCGCACTTAGCGCCGCACGGCTGAGCCGGGCTGAGCCACGCGCCAGCGCCGCCAGCGCTGTCTCTCTCGCACCCCTACGGAATGCGCCACGAGTGCGAGAGAGACAGAGCGACGAAAGTGCGACTGCTGTTCGGAATCGGCCTGCGACAGCTCGGCAGCGACATGGATTCCATGTCCAATATAGAGCCTCGAAGGCCGCGGTGGTGCTGCCTGGCTACACCGACTGGCAGCGCGTGGTTGGTGTGTGAGACAGACAGACAGACAGACAGACAGACAGACAGACAGACGACAGACAGACATAGACAGACGGACGGACAGACAGACAGACAGACGGACGGACAGACAGAGAGACAGACAGAGAGACAGAGAGACAGACGGACAGACAGACATAGACAGACGGACAGACAGACGGAAACAGACGGACAGAGAGGGTTAAGGGGTGGCGTGGCGGAGCAACAGATGAGGACAAGCAGCAGCACTTAGGGCCCGCAGAGCCGCCGGCGCCCGCCTCCCCCTCCCGCCCACCCTCCGCCCGGAGGGCAGCGCGCGAAAAAAGGAGAATCAACCCCATTTACCGTTTCTTCTTTTTCCGTTTGCTGTTTTATGAAAATCCAAAGCCAGATCCCCGCCGGCCGCTGGGAAGGATGGGCGTCGCCAGAGTGAGGTTTTCGTCGATGTCTCTCTCGCACCTGTGCGGGACGCCCCAATGGGTGCGAGAGAGACAGCGCGACGGAAGCGACTCTCGGATTTGCCGCCACCGCGGGGCCGCGGGGTCGACGCGCGAAAGCGGAGCGGGCCGAAGTCAAACGGAAAGATTGCCGTCTCGTTCGCACGCATGGGCGGGGCTGGGGCGGGGCCGGCGGGGCCAGGACAGCGCGAGCTGAAAGCGAGAGATAAAGGGGGAGAGGAAATGGGGAGGGGAGGGGAGGGGGAGGAGGTAACGGCGCAGTAGGGGCGCGGGAAGGGGTGGGTGCTGGGCGGGCCCGGGCCGCGGCCGCGGGGCGTGGCAGTGTGGCAGTCCGCGGGACGGCTGAAGAGTGACTCCGCGCACAGCGGTTCGTCGCTCTGTCTCCCTCGCACCCCCCTACGGAACGCCCAATGAGTGCGAGAGAGACAGTCGCTCTGTCTCCCTCCCACCCCCCTACGGAACGCCCAATGAGTGCGAGAGAGACAGTCGCTCTGTCTCCCTCCCACCCCCCTACGGAACGCCCAATGAGTGCGAGAGAGACAGTCGCTCTGTCTCCCTCGCACCCCCCTACGGAACGCCCAATGAGTGCGAGAGAGACAGTCGCTCTGTCTCCCTCCCACCCCCTACGGAACGCCCAATGAGTGCGAGAGAGACAGTCGCTCTGTCTCCCTCCCACCCCCCCACGGAACGCCCAATGAGTGCGAGAGAGACAGTCGCTCTGTCTCCCTCCCACCCCCCTACGGAACGCCCAATGAGTGCGAGAGAGACAGTCGCTCTGTCTCCCTCCCACCCCCTACGGAACGCCCAATGAGTGCGAGAGAGACAGTCGCTCTGTCTCCCTCCCACCCCCCTACGGAACGCCCAATGAGTGCGAGAGAGACAGTCGCTCTGTCTCCCTCCCACCCCCCTACGGAACGCCCAATGAGTGCGAGAGAGACAGCGACGAAAACGACTCTCGGAACCGGCCTGCTGTGCGGGTACGGGTTGCAGCTTTGGCCACACAAACAGACCGCCCCAGGCCCCACCAGCCCCACTCAGCACCCCTGTGAGAGACCACACCATTCTACGCACTCATTGCCCCGAGCAGAGGGGCAGGCTTCCAAAGGATTTGGACCAGCGTGCTTTTGTTTTGCTGTCTCTCTGTGGACGTTAATGAGCTGTTGTGTTCGATCATGAAATTTGTATTACAGGCTTGTAATGACAGCACTGAAAACTTAAGTGTGTACTCAGTACTTATGTGCTCAATGTGTGTACTCGGTACACACTTAAGTTTTCAGTGAGGGTATGGCTAAAAACATTCACCAAGCCGCAAGCTGAACAATCCATTCAAACATCTGCGTGTTCATCACGGAATAATTACACACAGGTGCTGAGGCTTTCCACACAGTGAGATCACTTGTCAAAAAGTAATGTCTGCCATTCTTCAGAAAGCGGCAGGCTCACAAAAGAACTGAGAAAGTCAAACCCTGCTCGTGACGTGTGCCCAGAAAACACACAACCCAGTTTATAATCTCGATAACTACCTTGAAGGGGATTCATTGAATGAAAAGAGCAGGATATGGCTTTCCAACCCAATAATTTTTAGCGACAGAAAACCTCAATCACAGGGATTGTCCATCGTCGATGAGCAAACAACAGTGAGAACGATTATGACATCGATATAGAAACGGAAGATTATTTACTGAGGGTTATTTATCAACAGCGTTTAAATCACGTTAATAGTTTTAATCAATATCAGTTGGTTGAGTTCCAAAGGAAAATGCTGGATTTATTTCACAACAAATCCAGTGACAAGCCGCAACGGATCTGAGATGACTTCACACTACAATGTGAAATAATGAAACAGTTAACGGTTATGTTACCAAACCGACAGACAATAACGAAATTCAGAAATTTCCCCATGGATTTTATCCACGCTGTGAGAAGAATCAAACGCGACAGAATCAAAATGGAAACAATAAGAGGCCAAGCACAAGGGCAACATAACCTAGACCAACCAAACAAACGCGGCCTTCTCTGCGAGCGACACAACTTGAGTCACGGCGGCGAATGAATGAACACTCACCGTCACACAAACATTCTTCTTGTGCCGCATTGTCGATGTTCATCGCCCCTCGGCGGTCTCCTCAAACTACCGCCGCCGCATCCAAACAAACTAATCCCTACAAATACTACGGTGCATCCTAACAATCGATATGGTGCAGCGCGCGCTGCAGTAGCAGACGACGCTGAAGGCGGGAACGCAAGGGCGACCTTCCCGCGTCAGCGGTCCTGGGGCAAGCAAAACCAAAAGCCCCGGCCGGACGAACCCTCGCGCCATCGCCACTGCCGAGTCCCAATCGGCCGCGCACCATTTCCTGGGTTTCGCTTTCGCGTCGCGGCGAGCGGTCCACTGTGAACTGTAGAAGGGTCCCGCGGCGCGCCGCGCCTCATAACCTTAAACCAGTGCGGCTTGGCTCGCAGGTTTACGGCCAATCATGGCGGCCGCGCGCTCGCATCTCGTGAATAAAAGCAATTTTCGTAATCGTTAAATCGCAACGGCCGCCGCGGAGTTACGACCCGCATCGAGGACAACGTAAACAAAGGCCCCGCCTTGGGGCAGGGCGGCAGGGCCCTGGGGGCCCGGGGCCGAGGGGCGGGGAAGAACCAGCGGTGGGGAGGGGAAGGGTCGGGGCAGCAACAGTGCGGCCGGATGGAGGGGGGCAGTGACACTGACACTTACGGCTCGCTTGACGGGCAGGTGCCGGCGGAAGGCCCCGGTGCCGGGGGCCTCGTCGTGATCCTGGTCGCTGTCGGAGGACTCGCCGCCGCTGGGGTCGGGCCGCGGCGGCCGGGGCGCGGCGGCGCTGGCCGCGGCCGAGGTGGTCTTGTCCATGGCGGGGAGGTTGGAGGCTGGTCGGCACGGCGGCTGGCTGGCGCCGCTGGTCCCCGCTGGTGGCGCTGCTCCGAGGAGCTCGACGCCCCGCGCCCCGCGTGGCTCTGCGGCGCGAGGTAGGGAGGGCCCTGGCCGTGGCCGCCCTGGCCGGGGGGGCCTGGCGTCGTGCTGGCGTCGAGGCACCGCGCGTCGGGGCGCTGAGCGGGGCGGTCTCCGAGCAGCGCGCGCCGTCCCAACGCCGTTCCGGCCCGCGCGCCACCCAACGCGGCCTAGCCAACCCAACCCGCAGAGCAGGCAGAGCCGCTGCCAACTTACGCAGAATGTGGGACAGGCGAGGCTGCCTGGCGAGGCGAGGGTTGGCGCTCGGGGCGTGGCGGCGTGGCCGGCCGGCGGGGGAAGTTACTCCAGGCGGGCCTAGCACGCGTGTGCGGGCTGGTGCGGCCCGCCAGCCAGCGCGTCGCGCGTGCGGTGCAGTCCTGGTGCAAGTGGCAGGGCGAGCTGAACCAGCTGAACCACCCCACTGTGGAGGGGGTACCTGCTGCGCGCTCCGCCCCACAGCAGCGCTACCGCAGCGCCGCATGGTCCGGTCCATGTCCGCAGGACATGATTTAAACCGCAACAAAAAGGAGGGGATTAAATTTAAATCGCTGCTGCCCCGAGGCCGGCCTCCCCCCGGGTACCAGCCACTGGGTGCGGCCTCGGGAGGACGGCGTCGTCATCGTGGTCGTGGACCTTGGGGGCGGAGCCGGCCTAGCCCAGGATGCCGTCGGGGGAAGGACGCGGACTGCTACGTTGGTCAATATTTAGCTTCCGGTTCCGTTGGCAAAGGGGCAGGGCCCGTGCCTCGGTGGAGGCCGTCAGGCCGTCCTTCTTGTTGTTGCTGTTGGCGGGGCACGGCGGCACGCCGCCCTGCGCCGCCCTGACGGTGTAGCCGTGGGACAATGCTTCCAGGGGGGTCTTCCCGACGTGCAGGGGGCAGGCAGCCCCGGAGTCCAGCGGCGGCCAGGGGCGGCGGCCAGAGGCGGCGGCCTGGGGGGCGGTGCCGTGTGGGCGGGGGCCGCGGGGGCGGTGCAGGCGTTTGGTGGGAAGTAGGGCACTGGGTCGCAGCGCGCCTTCTCCACCTGCTCCCCCTCCCCCTTCCCCTGGCTGCCTTTGGCTGCTCTGTTCATCCCCGCCGGAGCATCCTTTGCATTCCGGGCATTGTGAACCCCACCCCGCCCCACCCCACGCCGCCCCGCCCCGCCAAGAGGAGATGCATGCATGTACGGCCGCACAGGAATTCGGATCTTTAAATTTCTCATGTTTCGCCCGGCAATTGGCAGCGCGGCCTCGGCGGCCTCGGCCCTGGCGGTGACCGCCGCCGTTGACCCTCGGCGGCGACCTTCTGGCGGTCGCCGCGGGCCGCCCCCGCTCGGCCACGGCCGCGGCCTACACGGCCTACACCGCCACGGCCCCCGCCGCATTCATGCACAATATGCTACATCCTCGTCGTAGAGAAAAATAAGAGATTAATTGTTCCCATTCCCAGCCGGCTGCAGCAGAGTGATTCCGAGAGTCGTTTCGGCGCTCTGTCTCTCTCGCACTCATGTGGCGTCCCGTGTAGGTGCGAGAGAGACAGCGCGACGAAAACGACTCTCGGAATCAGTCTGCAGCCGGGACGCCGCCGCCGGGGCCCGCACGCGTGACGGACTGTCTGGGCCGGCGCCGCCCCGCCTCCTCGTGCGCGGCGTCGCGGCGTCGCGGCGTGTCGCGTGCGCGGTCCTGACGGTCCCGCGCCGCCCGTGCGTGGGAGGCGCGTCTCGCTCGCCGGAGGGGCTGCCCTGCTGACGTTCTGACGTCACACGGAACGCATTCAAGACCGCCGACCACGTATTGAACGATGACTCGATAAGACATAAGGCGGCCCCGGAGGACACGCGGATTGGGCGACGCCGCGGGCCTTGCCGCGGGCCGCGACGCTCGGCGGGGAGGAGACGCCGGAGAAGAGTGAGGCCAGGTGGGGCCGGCCAGGTGCAGGCCGCTGGCGGTGGAGGCAGCGCAGCCTGCGATATGGATTCGAACCCGGGGCCACGTGGTACGCCCCACCTGCCCCACCCCCAGCACACCGATTCCGCACAGCAGCGTTTCGTCGCCCTGTCTCTCTCGCACCTACATTGAACGCCCCGTGACTGCGAAAGAGAGAGGTTCCTCCAGCGACTGACACCGAGTCACGTCGCTGCGTGTGCTTTTTGGTTTGTTGCTTTTGTTGTTGTTTTTGTTTTTGTCACTGTACCGAGACGGTTGCTAAATCCTACCAGCGAGGAGGCTCGCCCCTCGCTTACCGGTTGGGCTTTCGGGCCACACGGCGGTGCCCCGCACAGTGGGCCAGAAGACCGGTGGAGGTGGCCAAAACTCTAGACGCGTTTTGAGCTCCAGAGTCGCTAAATGGGACTCGAACCGAACGTGTGACCCCACCAATGGATTCCTCGTTCGGAGAGCAATCCATTGGTGGGGTCACACGATCGGTTCGAGTCCCATTTGGCGACTCTGGAGCTCAAGACGCGTCTGGAGTTTTGTCCGCCTGCACCGGTCTTCTGGCCCACTGTGCCCCGTCTGTCTCTCTCGCGCCGCACGGGGCGCGCCATGAGTGAGAGAACGACAGAATGACGAAAGCACTGTTCGGAATCTGCCTGCAGTTAGGACCGACAGGCAGACAGGCCGACAGGAGGGGGCCTGGCCTCAGCCCGGCCGGCCGGGCCAATCACGCCCAATGGACCGGAGTGGTGCACAGTGGGCCAGAAGCCGGTGGAGGCGGCCAAAGCACTAGACGCGTTTTGAGCTCCAGAGTCGCTAAATGGGACTCGAACCGAACGTGTGACCCCACCAATGGATTGCTCTCCGAACGAGGAATCCATTGGTGGGGTCACACGTTCGGTTCGAGGCCCATTCAGCGACTCTGGAGCTCAAAACGCGTCTAGAGTTTTGGCCGCTCCACCGGTCTTCTGGCCCACTGTGTGCTGGCTGGTCCCGAGTGGGTCGCCTCTCTCTCTCGCACTCGCGGGGCGCGCCGTGTGGGTGCGAGAGAGACAGACCGACGGGACCGCCCCTCGGACAGCCTGCTGGCGGTGCTGGTGCACGCGGGGCACGCGGTGACCGTCCCGGCCGCGGCCGCCGCGCTGTGCTGCTGTCCGGTCCGCTGCGGCGCGGTAGCGCGCGGCAGTCGGTCCATGGCGACGTCCGCGGCGTCGGAACGCCCGCATCCCGCCGCGCCCCGCCGCGCCCCGCCCCGTCGCCGGTCCACGCCGGTTGGCGTCGTTGGTCCTATCAGAGGGCCGGGCCGGCGCTGACGGCCTGCCGGGGGGCGGGGGCCGGCGGGGGCCTGGTGGGGCGCAGAGCCGGCGGTGCCCCGAGGGCCGCTTGATCGCCGTGCTCGTCGTCCTGGTTCAGTCCAGTGCCGGGAGTCCGCGAAAACGAACGATGCGTGTTGACGTGGACGTGCTGGGGCTCGGGGGCGGCGCGGTGGCCGCGGCGCACGTGGTGCTGGTGCTGCTGGTGCAGGCGGCGCAGGGCACCCTCATGCCCACCACCAACACGGCCATCTTCAACGGCAACAGGAACGCGCCCAAGGAGATACGGTTCTGCCAGCCGCTGGACCAGCAGAAGAACGTCAACCTGGAGGCGGTTAGTGTCCGGAGGTCGTCGTCGACGGGCACCTTTGCCGAGCAGAGCTCCGCGCGCCGCGCGTTTCGAGTGACGACCCGACCTCATTGACCAGACCCCAGACCCCGTCCCCGGCCGATGGTCCGACGACCGTCGCGAGGCGCCCCGTCGAAGCGAGTCAGCGAGTCGCTTTGATCACATGGGCCTTTACGACGTGCCCTGCATGTGTGCCCCACCATGCCGCCATGCCTCGGCAGCATCGGCCCGTTCGCCTCGCGTCTCGCGTCGCATCGAAGAGCGTCGAACGCGCCACTGTAAAGTCGGCGGTAAAGTCGGATGTAAACGCCCCGACCCATCCCGAGCCCTTCCGTCCCACCAAGCCCGCCGTAGCGCCGCACCGCACCGCGGAGGCAGGAGGCTTTGTCGACGCCGAGCTCCACGCGTCCATGGCGGGCTTCGCCCAGCTGTACCCAGCCCCGCACAGTGGGCCAGAAGACCGGTGCCGGCGGCCAAAACTCTCGACGCGTTTTGATCTCACGAGTCGCTAAACAGAACTCGAACCGAACGTGTGACCCCACCAATGGATTCCTCGTTCGGAGAGCGATCCATTGGTGGGGTCACACGTTCCATGCGAGTGCCACTTAGCGACTCTGGAGCTCAAAACGCGTCTAGAGTTTTAACCGCCTCCACCGGTCTTCTGGCCCACTGTGCTCCGCTCAGCTTTGGCAGCAGTATCAGACTGATTCCGCACAGCCTCACGGTACTCTTCCTCTCTCGCTCGTATAAGGGACGCGAGGGCGAGTCGGCGGTGTTCGGAATCCCTCTGCAAACTGACTCCGAAGGGTCGTTTCGTCGCGCTGTCTGCGTTCCACTGGCGGGGCGTCCCGTAGGGGTGCGAGAGAGACAGCGACGGCAGGTTGGCGCTCCGCTCCGGTGGCGCACAGTGGGCCAGAAGACCGGTGGAGGCGGACAAAACTCCAGACGCGTTTTGAGCTCCAGAGTCGCTAAATGGGACTCGACCCGATCGAGTGACCCCACCAATGGATTGCTCTCCGAACGAGGAATCCATTGGTGGGGTCACACGTCCGGTTCAAGTCCCATTTAGCGACTCTGGAGCTCAAAACGCGTCTAGAGTTTTGTCCGCCTCCATCGGTCTTCTGGCCCACTGTGTGGCGGTTCCCTCAGGTTCCCACTCCCCGCGACGCGCGCTCTCTCGCGGCGCTGGCTTCCCTGACTTGGCGGCCGAAACGCCGCGCACCTGTCTCGCACCCCGATTCCGAGAGTCGTTTTCGTCGCTCTGTCTCTCTCGCACTCATGGGGCTCTCCGTAAGGGTGCGAGAGAGACAGCGACAAACCGATCCTCTGAACCGCTCGGCTGGCGCGTGCCAGGCTCGTTGCTCTGTCTCTCTCGCACTCACGGGGTTCTCCATAAGGGTGCGAGAGAGACCGACCTTCCGAATCGCTCCGCGGCTCCGTGACGTGTGAGATCGGCGCGGCGGAGCGCGTGTCAGGCCGTCAGGCTGTGCTCGCTCGCGAGTCGATCTGGGAGCGCACCGGCTTGGAAGTGTTCCCGTCCTACAAGCAGTGCGCAGAAGTGCGCAGCAGTGCGGCGTCTTCATTAAGGCAGACCTCCAGCAGCAGACTGATTCCGAGGGTCGTTGTCGTCGCTCTGTCTCCCTCTCGCACTCATGGGGCGTCTCGTGCAGGTGCGAGAGAGACAGAGCGCCGAGCGTGCAGCCTTGCCGCCCGGCCGCGCCGCCTGCCGTCTGATTCCGAGCACTGCTTTCGTCGCTCTGTCTCTCTCGCACTCATGGGGCGGTCCGTAGGGGTGCGAGAGAGACAGAGTGACGAAAGCAGTGCTCGGAATCAGACGGCTGGCGCCGCCGCGCTGCCTGGCGTGACGTGGGGTGGCGTGTGTAGTGTAGCGCCGTGTACCGGCTGGGGTTCCTCGTTCCTTGAGCTGCTCAAGGAGCAGCAATGGTCGCTTTCCTGTACAACCCCCACGGCTCGCGCAAAGCGGCCAGCAGTGCGCAGCAAGTGTGCGCATGCACTTACCAGTGTGTGTGTGTGTGTGGCGAGTAGACAGTTGGGAGCTAGCACACTGGAACTGCGCGGGAAATTTCTCGAGGCGGGAAAGCACCACACACGTGAGTTATGCGCGTCTGTAATTGCTGCCTCGACGTCGCGATCGACAGAGCCGCGGCAGAGCCGCCAGACTAATGAGTAATGCTGTCTCTCTCGGTTGTGTGCATCCAATCAGAGCGAGTGTCACGGCCAGGCGGAGCCAGGCGCGCCACAGTGGGCCAGAAGACCGGTGGAGGCGGACAAGACTCCAGACGCGTTTTGAGCTCCAGAGTCGCTAAATGGGACTCGAACCTAACGTGTGACCCCACCTATGGATTCCTCGTTCGGAGAGCAATCCATTGGTGGGGTCACTCGATCGGTTCGAGTCCCATTTAGCGACTCTGGAGCTCAAAACGCGTCCGGAGTCTTGTCCGCCTCCACCGGTCTTCTGGCCCACTGTGCGCGCCTCGCGGCCGCGGCCCGCCCGGCAGGCGGCTCCGGCAGACTCGTTCCGAGAGTCGTCTTCGTCGCCCCGTCTCTCTCGCACTCTTGGGGCGTGCCGGTAAGGTGCGAGGGAGACGGAGCGGCGAAAACGACTCTCGCAACCAGTCCGCAGGCTCCAGTCCAGGGCGGGGCGCCAGAGTCTCGCATCACTGGCGGACCATGCGGAGCGGTTGCCTGATTCCGGGCGGGGCTTCGTCACTCTGTCTCTCTCGCACGCGCACGGCGCGCCCCATGAGTGCGACAGAGACAGAGCGACGACTGTTTGGAATGAGACTGCAGGGAGTGCAGGGCCTTGGTGACACCGACATGCATGACGGTGAGCCATGTGGCAGGTGTGCGTGTGTGAGTGCGCGCGCGCGCGTGTGTGTATGTGTGTGTGTGTGTGTGTGTGTGTGTGTGTGTGTGTGCGCTCTCAATCCCCCAGGTCCTAAGCTTGCTCTGGATCCGCCACTGACGCACAGTGGGCCAGATGGCCGGTGGAGGTGGCCGAAATTCCGGACGCGTTTTGAGCTCCAGCCAGAGTCGCTGAGCAGAACTCGAGCCGAACGTGTGACCCCGCCAATGGATGCCTCGTTCGGAGAGCAATCCATTGGTGGGTTCACACGCTTAGTTTGGGATCCATTTAGCGACGCTGGAGCTCGAAACGCGTCCAGAGTTGTGACCACCTCCTCCGGTCTTCTGGCCCACTGTGCGGCGCCGGAAAAGTGCGCAGCGGTCGCGTTTGCCTGCCTGCTCGGCGAGTTGGCGGTGGCGGGTCTTCCCCGCCTTCCCCGCGTGGGCAGTGGCGGCAACGTTAAACGGGCGGCGCGTGGGCAAGGCGGGGCAAGGCGGGGCAAGGCGGGGCAAGGCGGGGCAAGGCGGCAGGGATTCGGCGCAATGAGTACCCGCCTGGCCGCCGGGCCGCCACGGTCCTTGACGAGAGCCTTGATGAGCGTGGGCGGCGCGCGGACCGTCCGTCAGCGGCGGGGGCTGCCGCAGCAGCCCGTCGCTCTGTCTCTCTCGCACTCATGGGGTGCGCTGTGCGGGTGCGAGAGAGACGGCGACGAAAGCAGTGCTTGCTCGGAATCGGCTTGTCGCACAGTCACCCCGTCTCGAATGCATGCATGCACCGCGCCGCCGCACAGTGGGCCAGAAGACCGGTGGAGGCGGATAAAACTCCGGACGCGTTTTGAGCTCCAGAGTCGCTGAATGGGACTCGAACCGATCGAGTGACCCCATCAATGGATTGCTCTCCGAACGAGGAATCCATTGGTGGGGTCACACGTTCGGTTCGAGTCCCATTTAGCGACTCTGGATCTCAAAACGCGTCTAGAGTTTTGTCCGCCTCCATCGGTCTTCTGGCCCACTGTGCGCCGCCGCCGACCCTTGAGCTCGCCGCACCAGCAGGCTGCTGCGGTTCTGAACAGTGCTCTGTCGCTCTGTCTCTCTCGCACTGGCGGAGCGCCCCGTATGAGTGCGCGAGAGACAGAGCGACGGAGACAAGCTATTTGCATGCACTGGCTTGTATCTCTGGCCTGGTTGCGGCGAGTGACGGATGAGATATCATTTTTCCTGGCGAGCACTGGTGGGAATCCAGGAAAGATGCATTACGTCAACGAATCCGACAGAATGTCACGCCCCTTCGATCATTTTCATACATTCGTGCTAGTGTGAATCTAGCTAATACTTTTTCAAACGAATATGACACAATGCTCAAAAGGAACGTTAATTTTCATACGTTCGTTTCAACGAGATGTCGCATTCCTGCCTGGATTCCCCAAGCGAGAGCAGTCGCCTAGTCGCTCCTCTTTTTTGGTCCGTTTAAATGACTCTTGTAGAACAAATTAAGCCCTCGGTCCGGCTGCCTCCAGGCAAGATTAAGGAAATGCACAGAGGGCAGCGACGCAGCGATGACCGGATGGGCATTATACAATTGTGTGGCCCACGCCTACGATTTCCCCCCCCTCTCTCTCTCTCTCTCTCTCTCTCTCTCCCTCTCTCTCTCTCTCTCTCTCTCTCTCTCTCTCTCTCTCCGAAAGTCACGTGGCCCGTCCCCCTGTTGCAGCTGGCGGGCTACTGGTACGCCGTGGAGACCATCGGGCACCGCGACGAGGACCGCGCCACGCAGTCCTACCAGGAGATCGCGCTGTGCCCCGTCATGTTCCTCTCGCAGATCTACAACTCGAGCGACCAGCTGCGGCTGCTCTGGGAGGAGCCCCTGGGGAAGATCGAGTACCGCTTCAGCCTGGTGGACCAGAACGACCCGGGCTTCTGGATATCCATGGGGTCGCAGAACGGTACGTTCCCGGGAGTGCTCTTGTCGTCTCCCTCTCCCCCACTCCCCCTATTTCCACAGTGGGCCAGAAGACCGGTGGTGGCGGTCAAAATCCCGGACGCGTTTTGAGCTCCAGAGTCGCTAAACAGGACTGGAACCGAACGTTTGACCCCACCAATGGATTGCTCTCCGAACGAGGAATCCATTGGTGGGGCCACACGTTCGGTTCGAGTCCCGTTTAGCGACTCTGGAGCTCAAAACGCGTCTTGAGTTTTGGCCGCCTGCGCCGGTCTTCTGGCCCACTGTGCGTCCTTCAGGCTAAAGAACAAGAGCGCCTTCTCTCGGTGGCTCGGTCCGAGCGCCGTGCGGGTTAGGCCACGCGCCTGCACGCGTGTGTGGCACGTGGCCTGCGCGCAGGCGCGCCACCTGGCGGAGCTGGAGTGGAGCGGAGGTAGCCGCGGGCAGCAGCTAGCGACAGAGAGGGTCGCTAGCAGCAGCCAGACAAGTTGCGAACAGTCTGCTCGTCGCTCTGTCTCTCTCGTACTCGTGGGGCGTCCCGTAGTGGTGCGAGAGCGACAGAGCGGCGGTACACTCTTAAAGTCCCATGGAGGTTCTCCATATTGTAGTGAAAATGCTCCATGTTGTGGAGGTGCAGCCTTTGCAACGCACCTCTAAACACGCACTGAACATCATAGGTATTTTGTCGAATTCCATTTCTATTCTGGAGTTATTCGTTAACATGCCGTGTTGTTGTGGCATTTGACCGCAAGACACTTGGAGTGCATAACATGACGAGTCTCCTGTGCCGTCTGCGCCGCAAGACACTGGTAGGCTTAACGAGCCCCCTTTGTCTGCACGCAGGCTCGCTGACCAACAACCAGGAGTACCCGTACCAGCAGTTCGCCGGCACGGTGCAGGTGATGCGCGCCGTGGGCACGGACATGGTGCTGACGTTCTGCTCGCCCGCGTCGCACCACTACTCCATGGTGATGTCACGCAACAAGACGATGGACGACAAGGCCCTGCACTCGCTCAACCAGATGCTGCAGGACCGGGGGCTGCGGCTGGTCAACACGCGCGTGGCGTGCAGGGGCGGCGCCAACGCGGCCACCAGCGCGCGCGCCGGCCTCGGCCTCGCCTTCGCGCTGCTGGTGCTGGCGGCCGTCAGGAAGGACTCCGTCCTCTAGGCGGCACTCGGGGGGTGTATGGACGAACAGAGGCCAGGCGCGGGCGGATCCAGGGAAGACCCCAAGGGCGGATCCAGGGAGGGGGCGAAGACGCAGAAGTTGCCTTCTTACAGGGGCGAAGTGCGACCTTTTAACAGATGATACCTTGTCTTTATATCCTACCTTTCGGGCGGCCTCGGCCTCATCGGCACCCCCCGTAAATGGGGTAAATGTGGTGCCTTTACCCTAGTGACAGGGGCAAAGCAGTGGTTTTTGACTACCTTTCGGGCGGTCTTTCTAGAAGGGGGTAATTACAGCCACTACACCTTCTCTCCTCCCCCCTTCTCATCCCTGGATCCGCCCCTGAGTAAAGCAGGCCGCAAGGAGTGCTAAAACGCCGCCGTTAAACAGAACGCCTCAGAACATAATGTTCAAATCCATGTCAAAAACCGTCAAAATCTGTGGAATGTCGTTGATACGTTTGTATACCGTTGAGTTTTCCGTCCTCTACACGGCATGATTCGACTTGAATCGACCAACTTTTGAAAATAATCTACGAGCAGTACTGTGACAGTATTGGAACTGCTCGAAGTTCGGAAACAGCGGCTTTCTGACTGTGAAGCGAGTGGAGATAGGTTTATGTAATTATTGTTTAAGTATAGATAAGACTTCCATTAAGGTTCAGAAACTAGTCGAACTCGTCTCTCTGTGTAGGAATGCCTTTACAACTCAAAGCGTTGTCAGGGAGTCAGGGACTCCGAATTTGCCATGACTTAAGAAACTCTTCCGAGTTAAAAGGGGAAAGAATAAACGCTAATCATAAGTGTCTCGCGCTAATTAGGCTTTAAAGCCTTTAGGGGGAAAAAGCTGCGGAATATTTTAAATTGTAAATTATGTCTCTTAACTTTTTTTTGTATGTAAAACGACACTTGTAAAACAATGTTAGGAAGCAGGTGGACTCTCTGTCTTGATCGATCTATCCTAGATAAACGACGTTTTGCAACGGGACCAGATAGTTTTTTACCACTTGAAGCTTTTCCACGACCGACTTACCTTATGAATTCTAAAGGCACATAAAAAAAAAGTTTCTATCTGACGATTTGTCCTTTCGATAAAGTTTCAAGTTTCAAGTTAGGGGTTTGAACAAATAATTTTTTTTACCGTGTGGGGCAAACATGAAGAAACTTATTGTGTATTTTTTTTACTTTTTACAGCGACACTTATTGTGGTGTGAACGTTTGTACCTTTGTATAATATATTATTTATTTTTTTGCTGTAGTGTATATGTAGCAAGAGTCAATAAATTACGATATTTTAAACAGACAAACGCCCTTCTGGTATCGCAGAGCCATCTCCTACGCAGAAAAGACCTACATCACATTTTTGAGAAAGTGGTTGTTAGAGGACTTAAATTCAATACGTCCTTGTTAATTAATCTTTCTTTAAGCCTAGTGACAGCAGGGACCACGAGCTGCCACGGGCAGTATGCCGCCGGGTGGGCTGAGCGGACGCGCGCGCGCACGCACACACACACACACACACACGCGCGCGCGCAGCCGGCCCGGTCCAGACAAGTCGGCCGGCTGGGCCGAGTCTCGGATGAGCAATAAGCTGAATTGTAGTCAATTAGAAGTGAAGGGAGTGAGAGGGGCGAGAGGAAGAATGGAGGGGGAGGGGGCGTGTGGGAGTGCGGGAGTGGGGCCGGGCTGGGCTAAGTAAATGAGCGTTCCACGTACATGCTGAATGTCTTAATGAGGCAGCAGCAGCGTGGCTCCCTCTCACAGTGGGCCAGAAGACCGGTGGAGGTGGCCAAAACTCTGGACGCGTTTTGAGGTCCAGAGTCGCTAAACAGGACTCAGACTAGACGTGTGACCCCACCATGGATTCCTCGTTCAAAGAGCAATCCGTTGGTGGGGTAACACGTTCGTTTTGACTCCCATTTGGTGACTCTGGACCTCAAAACGCCCCACTGTGCCCCCCCCCCCTCCACCTTTTCCAGGACGCCGGCACGAGCCCCCGGACGACCACATAGTGTATCACCAGGACCTCCATGCCGGCCAGCGGGACTTGCTGAACTTGTATCCCCGGTAAAGTCAGCGCGGAGAAACTTCCGGGGGCCCTTCCTCCGCTCGCTGGAGCCCTTGCCGCTGCCCTTTGGTCCCCTCTGCCCTTAGGCCCCGTTCGGCACTGCCAGGCACTGCCACTGCGGCGACCTCTGTGACCCCCAGCCCACACTATAAGCTCCACGGAGCCACCGCCTCTGCCAGGACGCTGCCCGCCAGTGCTGCCACTTAAGTAGCCAAAATTTCCCGCGTCGGTAGGGTTGCCAACGTCAGCCTGCCTACGCGAATATCTCTGGACTTTGCTCCCGAGAAGTTTATGTAGGCATGCTAAGGAAATTTTTGCCTGCTTATGTGGCAACACTGCAAGCAGTCTTCATGACCGGCTTGGCCGGCGCCGGAACGACAGGCAACCCATCGTACCGGGCGGCGCTGTGAGCCATTTGGCCGCGCAGCTACGCGCAGCGAGCTGCTTTGCAGAGTGCGCCATCTCTCTCTCTCTCTCTCTCTCTCTCTCTCTCTCTCTCTCTCTCTCTCTCTCTCTCTCTCTCTCTCTCTGCGAAAAAACCTCTCTCTCACTCCCCAACCACAAAATGAATTATGTTGCTGATGCACTGGTGTCCAGGCGACCTTGCAGCGTAAAGACAGCGGAGTGTCGTATTTTTTTCCTGAGCCGGGCCAACAATACAGTACTCCCCAACAGCACACAGCTCCATTCATCTCACGCCCGGGCTGCATTGCCTCAATTGGCATGCAGACAAACCTCCTGTGAGGCCCAATTGTTTTGACACTGTAAAACTGTGTCGCTCCGTCAACACACTTCGAGATCTCGAACTACTCTCGAGCGCTCGCTCACCCGGTTTCCTGACCCTGGCCGGCCCGCTGATAACCCATCCGACGACGGCGCCGCTACGTCGAGACATTTTTCAAGAAGGAGGAAGAGGAACGGTCTTGCCGCGACAAAAGTCGTCTTCGGTACAGATTGCTGTTGTCGACTTTCCTTTAGGGATAATCAATCCACTGGTGGGAAAGGGGGTGGGGGGAATGCGTCAATGCATTTTTCGCCGACCGAGCGAAAACCCCGTCAACGCTCTCAATGCCATGACGCTATGACCTTTCGTCGAACGGGGGCCCTAACCATTTTCCGGACCACATTCTGCGTGACACGCGCGGGAAAAAATCAAACTCCCTGCGCGAATACTCGCAAGGGGACGGCATTGTGCCGTGTTGTTGGTTTGGGTTCGGCCCTGACCTTCGCGTCCGTGTATTCGGCAGGGTGAACCTCCAGGCGGGGCGGACCGTTGTCCCGTCGTCGTGTAGTACCAGCATGTCGGACGACGAGAACCCCCCCGAAAATCAGGGACTTGATTTGGGTTTGGCAGTGGACGAGTCACTGGGACTGGGCCAAATTGAACGGGATTTGATAAGGGGAGGTGAGAAGGGGAAGCGGGGAGGAGGGTGGTGATGTAATGGCGGGGAGATCGCGGAGCGCGGGAAAAAAGAGAGGGAACGCGGTGCTGGCCGCGGCGGAGCCGAATGGGGGGGGGAGAGGGGAGGGGAAGGGGTCCACGCGGCACATACACTCTGTCGAACTCAACACAGCGCCAGCAGTGCCTCGCCGCGCGCCGCAAACACGCTTGCAAAGTGCTCCAAAGAACTCCACCTCGCCGTGGTCCTTCCCCGCGCGGCCGTGTGCGTGTGCGGACCGACCGACCGACCGCTCTCGCAGTCAGAGTGCTTCGCGCGCGCGCGCGTCTGTGTGTGTGTGTTGTGTTGGTGTGAGTGTGTGTGTGCTGTGTTGTTTGAAAACATTGCTGGATTATTCGGAGCCCGCTGCGTACGCTGCGTGCCCGGGAGCGCCATGGCGTTTACAACAGGTGTGTAGCCGAGAGGGACTGACTCGCGGACTGATTCCGAGAGTCGTCTCTCTCTCTCTCTCTCTCTCTCTCTCTCTCTCTCTCTCTCTCTCTCTCTCTCTCTTTCTCTCGCCGGGACGCCCCATGAGTGCGAGAGAGAGAGACGACGCTCGGAATCAGTGTGCTGTCGTCGTCCGCCCCATTAGCGCCGGCCGTGCCAACCCCAATTCCGACGAGTCAACAAGTCGGGCCGGGCAGTTCACGTGTGTCCGTCCCTCCGGCCGCCCGGCCTGCGTGCGCACTGTAACTCTCGCCACTCTCTAACGAGATTTTACTTTAACAGCCACTAAAAAAAAACTGCGCAAACAAAAAAATACTATTTCTTCGTATAACAAACTAGAAAGACTAGAAAGACCCTGGGTCAGACTATGCTCAGATAAGGCTCGGACAGATTCTCCGAGAGATCGGCTCAAAGTTTTGCCGCAGACTTCACACTCGTGTCGTCTCCAACCCGGAAACCGTGGCCACCCTCAACGCGAAGGACCAGTTCCGTGACCGGCACCGAGGGGGAATTCACTCAGGTATTAGTCGGTTGTCGGGTGTGTAATTGGTCTGTAATACTGCCTGTATTAGGTAATAGTTGCGTAATGGCCGTAATTACTGGTAATAGTGGTATTTGCGTCGTATTAGCGCTGTAATTGGTGTAATAGGGTGTATTAGATGAGTAATTGGCACATTTTTTTAACGAAAAGTCTCCGTTGAAGCTCGCGACAGCTTCGGAGAGCCTCTCGGGAGAGACCGCGGTGGCTGATTATGTGCGTTTTAGACATATCCCATGCCGTGGAAGTGTCCTTCCCTCCGAAGGTAGGGTGGGGTGGGGGAGGCTGGAGTCGCGGTGAGACGAGCGTCACAAACCAAACCGCTAGCCTGGCTCTGGCTGCTTCCCATCAGTGGGTAACGCAATTTGCGTTTCTTTCTGCAAGAATTGTTGTAGTCCGGGATGAGTCCCGGACTAATAATGCATTCCGTCTTACTTTTTGCTGAAATATTGTTACTTCACGTGAGACTTATCTTCTGGTATCTATAATCATGGTGCCCAGAGGCACGTTGGATTTCTAACCTTGCCTTAGGCTCGGACATGCTTAGTCAGACCTCTTAATCATAGAACTCGAATAATATTTTTAGATGTTACTGCTTTCTGAAATGCTTCCTTTTTATAAAACTAAATTTATTGTGGGTCGATGTGCTTTCTTAGGTTATGATGCCCTCAGTCGTAATTTATTTGTGCACAGACCCACACCTGTTGAAACGAATGCAACAAATCTGAGATTTTACAGTAATTTCAGGTAATGTAATTCAAGTAATGTAACTAGACAAATAATATTAAAAAATCACTTTAGGGCTGCGTAAAACATCCAGTGAAGTACCAAACACATGAGGTGTCACAGACTGCTAGTAAGATTTAAGGGGTAGGCAGAGAAGCTCAAAAGATTTTTTTATTCACTGCAAGGGAAGGCGCAACCAATATACGGAATTGCAAAAACTGATGTGATATCATTGCTGTTTTAAACTGCATCATACATGCAAACCGTCCACAATGAATCAAAAATTTCCTCTGCCTGTCAGCTTTGTTTACTGTGAATATTTCGCAATTTGTCCACCCGCAGCGCTACCGTCGCACGTAGATACTCTATGCCCTGATGCAAATAGTGACCCAAAGTAAAGGAAAATTCCCTCTTTGCACTGTAGTAGGGTGTATTTACTGTGCAATTGCCATGTATTGTGGTTTATTTGCTGTGAAATTGCCATGAATTATGGTGTATTTGCTGTGTAATTGTCATGTATTATGGTGTATTTGCTGCGCAATGGGTGTATTATCAAGGTAATAGTCGTAATACCAAGGTAATGGCGTAATTGCAGGTAATGTCAAGGTAATAGCTGTAATACTTTCGGAAGGTAATAGTCGGTTGCCCATTTTCGGGAGTGAATTCCCCCTCGACCGGCACGGCGTGGGAGTGAGACAGAGTGACAGCGACACATGTCGTGATGATGTTTTCAGCAAGTCTCGCCGGCACCGCCGGGACAGCTGGGAGTTTCCAGCATCCGTAAGTGGCGCCCGGCGAGCCCGTTCGCGCTCCGCCGAGGCCGGCCAAGGCCTCGCGCGCCTTGCGACTCGCCTTGCGACTTGTTGGATTGAACCGGCGACAGCGCCGATCAGACGAGACGGACAAAAATAACAAAATCCAGCTGGCGGCTGGCGGACAGGGAGTGGGTGGGGAGGGGAGGGATGGGAGCGGCGGCCGTAGGGGGAAGTACCAGCGCCGTGTCTCTGTCGGTCTGTCTGTCTGTCTGTCTGTCTGTCTGTCTGTCTGTCTGTCTGTCTGTCTGTCTGTCTGTCCGTATATCCATCTGTCCGTCTGTCCGTTCGTCCGTCCGTCCGTCTGTCCGTGTCTGTCTGTCTGTCTGTCTGTCTGTCTGTCTGTCTGTCTGTCTGTCTGTCTGTCTGTCTGTCTGTCTGTCTGTCTATCCGTCCGTCCGTCCGTCCGTCCGTTCGTTCGCCGCGTCCTCCGCGCGTTCAGAGCGGTTCAGAGCGATGGCGACCGATAGTGGCGGACACGCGACGCCCAAAGCGCTTTTTTGCGGATCGTCACGCCGGGTCACGCAGTCACGCGTCGCCACGCTGACCCACTGTGTGTTTATGGCACTTGTTGTTGTTTTTGTCGTGGTCGTTGCCGTTAGCGTCGTCGTCATTTTAGTAGCTTTGTTGTTGTTGATGATGATTTTGTGTTGTTATTGTTGTTTTTCTTGTTTTGTTAGTGCCGGTGTCGGTGGTGTCATTTTCCTGCGTTTTGGTGGCGGCATAGTGTGATTGATTTTGCTCAGAGTACTCACTGTGCAGATAGAGAGACTTGATTCCCGTGTTGATCATCAATTTGAACCTTTCGCGCTCCGCGTCGCGCCGCCTGGCTTCGTCGCGCCGCCGAGACGAGCCGTCACGACCGTGACCGCAGGCTCACCTTGGTCCCACCACTGCCCCCCCCCCTCCATTTTTCTCGGGAGAGCCTCAAGGAACGGGTATTTCCAGCCGGCCGTTCTGCATCATACCGCAACTAGTCCAATTTTCGAACCGATTTGTCGCACCGACGCGATGATATTTGCGACAAAATTTTGTCTGTCTGAGTTGAAAGAGTGAATGCGGACACGAAATAGAGCTTCGGACATCAATGTCCGCCTCCATGATCTCGATAGGTCTGGAACTGGAGTAGCGACGGCCTCACGCGGGGGGAGGGGGATAACCTCTCCGTGCGAGAGACTTTCTAGCGGCGTGGCGTCTCTCCGTTTGGAAAAGACTGTCTCAATGCGACCACTGCTGGGGCCAGAAACCAGAAATCTAAACTGAGAAGAGTGATACTGTGAGGGTGGATCTAGAGACGGGTTGTAAGGGGAGGGGAGGAAATTGAGGGCTGCTTGGAGGCAGGGGGGTCCACCACATCTGCTAGGTGGTGGTTTCCTGTCTATTGCATTGCTCCCTCTTTGAACCTAACCATCTTAGTGTAGGAGCACTGTCACAGGATATTTGCTCAACGTGTCGGCAGGGGCGGCATGAGTGTCTTGTTCAGGCAATATTTTGCCGATAGGAACACATATGTGTTTCAATTATCCCTGGATTTTATCTTATCCTGTCACTGTCTCTTTTATCCGCCGCGTCCGGTTTGCCCTTCTCCGTGACTTAGTGTCCTGGGAAACAAAACACTTGACCGGGGGCCGTGGGGCCCAGTGGGGCCCAGTGGGGCCTCGATGGGTGACGTCTCCACCTTCCACTGTGCCGTCACGGCGTCGTCGGCGAGTAGCCGCCTTATCAGCAGCCCGATTCCGAGAGTCGTTTTCGTCGCTCTGACTCCTTCGCAAGGGACGCGCCCACTCGTGTAGTCAGAATGTCAGAAACCTGTCTGAAAACCTGATCAAAATTCGCACTCCTCTGAAAGCTGAAAACTTTTCTGACACTCTGTAGAAATCAGAAAAAGTTTTCAGAATCTTAGCTCTCGCAAACCTCTGAAAGCTAAGATTCTGAAAACTTTCAGAAAACATCAGGATTTCAGACATGCTTCTGACATTCTGACACACGAGTGCCATGAGTGCGAGAGAGACCGAGCGACGATAACGACCTTCGGAATCAGTCTGGCCAGGCCTGGCCCTGTTTGGTGCGTCAGTTGACTGCCTACCAAAGGAACGGCGGCTTCAAACGTGAATTACAACGTTTCTTAATAATAACTCATAATTACTGTCGGTTTAAATTTGCGGTTCGCTTCACCATGTCGGTGCGTGGGTGTGTCGTGGTTGGTGTTGTCTGGCGCGGTGGTCGTTGCCCGCCTTATCGTAGGGCCGCGTTGTCGTCCCGTTAGGCCCTTTCTTTATCGGTGTGGTGACTGTGACTCACTCGCCGACTAACAGGCGGAGAATGGCACGACGACGTGTACGGCCGCAAAGCGCGGGATTTTCCTGATTGTTTCTATTGGCTGAAAAGCCTGATTGCAAACCGTGCTTTCGTCTCTCTGGCTCGGTAGCGCCTGTGAGGTAGGCCATGGGCCCGTCGCGCAACACACCTGTGTGGAGAAGGTGGCCTACCTCGCGCCTGGGGGACGACAGGGGCGAGGTAGGCCACCGTCTCCACACGGGTGTGTTGCAGTGTGGGCTCACGGCCTACCTCACAGGCGCTACGGAGTGCTCAGAACCGGCATGCACTTGCCAAGTACACTCCAGGTGGAGTGTACTATGTACGCACTTGAGTTTGTAGAGTAAGCAGTCCTTCGAGTACTTCGTGCCATGCACCCCGGGTGCGAGAGAGACAGAGCGACGAAAACGACTCTGCTGCGCGGGTTCAACACCACGCCGTTGCCGAAATGGCATGATGCATGTGCATCTGGCGGGGCGGGGCCCTCGGCGGGGCGGCCGGCGTGATGACGGAGCCCCGGCTGTTTTGGCCGGCCGCCGACGCCCCCTCGCCGCGTGTTGGCTGGCGGTGTGGGACGCCCCGCGCGACGCCCGGTGCCTCGCCTCGCCGCCACCGCCGGCCGGCCCAGCACCGCCCAGACGCCAGTCAGTCAGTTCGAGTTCGACCAGCGCGCGGCGAGCGGGAACGGAAGCAGCCTGACGCAGCTAGAGCAGTTCCACTTTGAGGCGGTGTAGGTCCCCGTCGTCCTCGTCGTCCTAGTCCAGCAGGTACTGTCTGTCTCCCTTGCGGTTGGTCCCGGACAACGACAACCTAATCGTGGCCTTCCCCGCCTTCCCTGCGAAGCAGCCGTGTTCCCTTCGTGCTTTCCAGTGCAGTCACAGAGGCGGCTCCAGCAGACAGGCCAAGGAGGCAATCAGGTCAGGTCGCCAGAAGGCAACAAACCCTTACATTCCGCCGGGAAGTGGGCAAACTGTGTCTTGACGCGCTCCGAAATGTTTTTCTGGAGCCGCCCCTGTGCAGTCCGCGCTAGGTAGTCAAAGTTTGACTCCAGCTCGGCCCCGGCGCCCTCGGCCTGCGGCGCCACTCGAATCGACCCACGCCGTCGTCCTCGTCGACGAGCTGCCGTAAAGGCGCGACCGTTACACTGTGCATAATGACTGATTTCGAGCCGCACCTCCGTCGCTCTGTCTCTCTCGCACTCATGGGGCGTCCCGCAGGGGGTGCGAGAGAGACAGGTGGGCGAGGCACTTGTTCGAGTCGACGCTGACCTGTGGCCCACGGCGGCGGTCTTTTGACTGCTGCTTTTGACAGTTGCTCGGGGCGCTATCCACGCTATCTCCCACCACGGCATGAAGCCACGGCCTATGCCCGCCGTTGGCGATACGTTGGCGGCGACTCCGCTCGGAAGTGGTAAATCCGCGAGCGCGCGCGCGTCCGTCAAGTCCTTCGGCAAGTCCTTCGGCAAGTCCTTCGGCAAGTCCTTCGGCAAGTCCTTCGGCAAGTCCTTCGGCAAGTCCTTCGGCAAGTCCTTCGGCAAGTCCTTCGGCAAGTCCTTCGGCAAGTCCTTCGGCAAGTCCTTCGGCAAGTCCTTCGGCAAGTCCTTCGGCAAGTCCTTCGGCAAGTCCTTCGGCAAGTCCTTCGGCAAGTCCTTCGGCAAGTCCTTCGGCAAGTCCTTCGGCAAGTCCTTCGGCAAGTCCTTCGGCAAGTCCTTCGGCAAGTCCTTCGGCAAGTCCTTCGGCAAGTCCTTCGGCAAGTCCTTCGGCAAGTCCTTCGGCAAGTCCTTCGGCAAGTCCTTCGGCAAGTCCTTCGGCAAGTCCTTCGGCAAGTCCTTCGGCAAGTCCTTCGGCAAGTCCTTCGGCAAGTCCTTCGGCAAGTCCTTCGGCAAGTCCTTCGGCAAGTCCTTCGGCAAGTCCTTCGGCAAGTCCTTCGGCAAGTCCTTCGGCAAGTCCTTCGGCAAGTCCTTCGGCCCCGACCCGCGTCAAGTTATTTCGGCAGTGCAGGGACAAGGACGCGCGGGACGGCCCTGAGCCGCCGAAGGAACTTCCGGTGCGATGTGAACTTGTTTGTTGCCACGCTTCGTAGGAGGGGACGACCAGATTTCTCTGTACCATCTATCCATCCATCGCGTTGTTGAATCACCGCTGGCATTGGCTGACCAAGTGAAGCATTCTTTGGGGTATGACGTCACCGCTGAGCTGCCCCTCCCCCACCCCCTCGCCACTTTCCGCGAACTTCCCTCCTCCTCCTCCGCCTGAACTTCCCTCTCCATTCCCCGGTTCCTCCTCCCGTTAACATTCTCATACGTGTCAGCGCGAGCACCGCACTGCGTACACACAAAGGCTGGCCGCAGTTCTCGAAAACAAATCAAATCTCGTCAAGTGGAACACTCTCTGTCACTCGAGGGGCATGACACGGTCTGTCCGCTCTGCCAGTAGTCTGCCGCGCACCTTGGGATCCACCAGCCGCACCACTTTAGGTACCCAATTTGTCTTGTTACCGTCGCCTCCTCCTGCGCAACAATTGGGCGACCTAACCTCTGTGTAAACTGTTTTGTGTCTGTTTGTTCATCGTCTCTCTCTGGGACTGTCACACTGTAGGTGCGGTTTACGTTTACTCTCACGCGGATCTGAGAATCGCTCGTCGCCTTACTTCGTCGAATAGATTTAGACGTCCTTACTGTGAATGTCAAGGCGAGTTTTCAAGGTTGCGTCTCTGTTCCGTTCCGGGGTTCCGGCGCAACGGAGGGCAGGGCCACATCTATCAGTGAACTATCTCGCAGTTTATTCCCCTTCATGTTTGATCAGCTGTTTTGGCTGTTGGAAGTTTTTGTTGCCTATTTTCTTACGATGGCCTTACAGGTGTTCCTTGACTCATAGCTTTGTAAACGAATGTTGAACTGCTTAAAAATTATGACTTTTCTTTCAGGACTTCTAATTTTCCTGGTACCATTTATTGCAACTATGGCGTCATCCGAGCCTTTAGCTGCCGTTGTCAAGGGTGTCAATGATTTCACATTAGACTTCTACCTTGTAAGTCTCTCAATGTGTGTTAAAGCAGCCCTGATTGAAACGAGATGTGGTTTCTTATTTTCCTTCAACTTATATTTACAGACCACAGCTGAGAAAAATGGACCTGGAAAAAATGTTTTGGTGTCTCCCTTGAGTGCCGCTCTTGTCACGGCAATGGTACATGCAGGAGCCAAAGGTGTAACCGCAAATGAAATTACTAAAGGACTTCGTTTCCCCGAAGATAAAGCAACTTTGGAGGATGGTTTCAGAGCTCTTCATGGAGTTCTTGCAGTCAGTATTTTTGTACAATAGTCTGTCTGTTAGCCCTGTTTACCAATTTTTTTTGTCTCTAATGTTTCATTTATGGCTTGTTTCAGAACACCCCAAATGTTACACTTGAAATAGCCAACAGAATATATCTTGACAAAACTACGAAGATGAAACCAGATTATACGAAAACAGTCACTGAGGTTCACAAGTCAGACGTTGAAAGTGCTGACTTCATGCACAATCATGAATCCGAAAGACAGACAATTAATAACTGGGTCCTCAAAAAAACTCATGATAAGATCAAGGATCTCCTCTCCCCAGGTAATTACAAAATTTCTCACCTTCTTAGATAAGAAACAAAATTGATGCCATTAATTTCATGTTTGCTGTGATGTTTTGCACTGTTCTTAGGCATGGTTACTCCTGCTACAAGCATGGTTTTGGTCAATGCTGTTTATTTCTTTGGCAAGTGGAAGGAACCATTTGACCGTGAGCAAACCTACGATCAGGATTTTTTCGTTTCCAAGTCCAAGACTGTGAAAGTGCCCATGATGCATTTGACTAAAACTTTGCGGTATGCTGAGATACCACAACTGAAAGCTAAAGCTGTTGAGCTGTGCTATGCTGTAAGTTAATCAATATTGTCTTGTCCAAAATTTCATCAGAAATTTAAAACCGTCATTTAAAACATTTTGTATGATTTCCTGCAGAATAAGGATGTCTGTTTACAAATCATCCTTCCTGACGCCAAAGATGGACTGGAAAAGATGCAGAAGCAGCTTCGTGAAGGAGCTTTTGACCTCTCCAACATTGAATTTTATCCAACCAAAGTTCAGCTCAGCATGCCAAAGTTCAAGCTTGAAGAGACCATTAACATCAAAGACGTTTACCAGAAGGTAAATATGAGGCATTCAATGTACCCTGGAGACAAGCAAATTAGCATTAATGTTTCATAAATTACACAAAACTTGTTTCTCATGTGGCCATTTTTTGGACTGTTTCTTATCAGATGGGAATGAAGGCGATGTTCCAGCCTGGGGATGCTGATTTTAGTGGAATTTCTGAAGAAAAATTAGTTGTTAGTGAAGCAATTCAGAAGACCTTTATGGATGTCAATGAAGAAGGAACTGAGGCTGCAGCAGCAACTGGTAAGCTTTCTTCCATCCTGTTTTAAACTTAAGTCTTTGCTTTGCTTTTTTATGGATGCACGCCTGACTTTCTAGAAATACATAAGTGGTACTTGGGTAATTTATGCATGGCTTAAGATTTTGAAAATGCTGAATTATCAGGTGCTTCAATGCACACTAGTGTGTTACAAGTCTGTTGTCACTGGTACCGATAGAGATGAGCAAAGTCATCACAAGGGCGTCCTCACAAACTATTCCCCAACTTGTCCTTTTCCTCCATCATCCTACCTCTTTTTTAATGAAGATCTTCTTACATAATTCACATAAATCTGTTTAGCTTGTTTGTTGAAATGCATTTCTTTTAATTATCTCAAGCCTTTTCATTACCAGGGTTTAATGTGTGTTTGTTTCTTATATTCTGTATTTTTATTTATTTTTACATTGTGTATTGTACTTAACTTTGGTTGATTAATTAGTGGCATCTTATTTTTTCTTAAAATTGTGAGTGGCTGTTGATATGCACTGTTAAAAATTGTTTGCCTCATTGGGGAAGTTTTTCTTAACATCTTTTCTCTCTTTTTTGGTGTGTGTCAGTTTTTTTTTTTTTTTTTTGTGTTTTTTAGGGAAATCATATCCAGTAGTAGTGGCTTCTTTCTACAATGCACAGAATGAATGTTTTGATTTACTATGTGTGACTTATAATATATTTTTTGCTGTTCTGTTTCCCAGCTTGTGTTGCCCGAAGGAAGCGTTGTGTCGAGGAGCCTTTAGAAATTTTTGTGGATCATCCATTTTTATTCAGGCTTGTTCATTCCAACTCTCTGATTTTTATTGGGTCCCATTTTGAACCCACTGTGCCGAGTGAAGATTGTGCCCCAGTTGAGGATGATGTTGAGGAGCAAGTTGATTCACATCTCAATGACAATCCTCAGTCAGATGATGACCGCATCCATCATAAGCGAAGCCATTGTGAAATGTTATGATTTGCCTTTCTGTTGCTGTGTTATGTGCAATATGTGCAATGTCTTGCTTGCAAGAATCTCAAGTGTCCTTACTTCCTTTGTGAAGCTAACTTATTTGAACTCATGGTGCCGGTTATTTATTGAATAGTTTAGTTTTTTATTAACTACTTGTTGAGAAGTAAATGTTCCAAAATGTTAACACTTAACTTTTAAACTTCATGTCTTTGCTGGTAAATTTTATATCTATTGCTTGGTTAGAACTTATAAAATTAGCAGGGGAAAAACTTGAATCTTTGTATGCAGCTAGTCAATATTCTCTACAAACCTTAATATGTTCAAGCTGTAAGCAATTCTACAATTTTATCAGTATTAGCTTTCTCGCTTATCTTTCTCAATACCTGTCGTACTTTTGTCTCTCTGCTTGAATGTGTAGTGCCATGCTCCTAAATATCAAAATCTCAATCAGAATCTCACATGTTTGTATGATGTATGCTTCATGAGAGAGATAAATGCTTTGTACTTTAATCTTTACATTTCAGAAATGTTGTCTATTTACCAAACCAACTGCTGTTAAGTCTTACTTTTGGAGGAAGTTCTCAGAAGGAATATTATGCTATCTTGGAGGAAAGTTGCTCAGGGAAACCACTTATTGATCTCAGATAATACATGGTTCAATTGCAGATAATTCCCTGATGCATTTTGCTAGACAAAGATGTTTTTTATCATAAGGTTCTTTTCTGTTCCAATTTTCAGATTTTAAATATTATCATTAGCTTTAAGTTTTGTTGTCTTGAATGTTTTTTTGTTGTTTTTTATGTGCTTGAATTGTGGACACTCTAGGGTGTGAAACCAGTGAATCACATGTTTTATTATTGATCTTGTGAGTAATTTTATACATATTTATACTAATTGGAAAATAAGGGTACAACAAACAGCTTTAAGACTGAGCCTCAGTGCAAGTCGTATTCAAAGAAATAAACTCAAACCTTTCTGACGATTGCTATTTTTTTCTACCCGCCACAGTGACTTCCTAAAGCTATGCATGCTTTAAAAACAAAAGAAGTTTTCTCCCCTCGCTGCTGGACATGGTTCCCATTCATTCTTTTCACTTCTAAGACAAGTGGCAAACCCCACCTGGATTTTTGGCAGCCTCAAGTAAAGCAGCATTGCCTTTTCCACTCCAATGAAGGGTGATCTAGGGGCGGTGCTTGACTTTGAGAGACAACTAGACTTGGCCGAGCCAGGGAAGGCCGCAGCGAGGTGGTAACAGAGCCCCCTGTTCCCTGGGCAACAGGAGGCAGGCCGTCAGGCCCAGCCGCCCAGCCATTTGCCACACATTGCCGGCCGGTCGCGCGGCACTTTTCAACCCTTTCGGCACCGCGCTGCCAGATTCAAATTAAAGAAGTGAAGAACCACAGCCATGGAGACGGAGAACGAGACGCAGGCGATGGAGGCGGAGGAGCGCGACCAGGACGAGGACCAAGTGGACGGGGATGAGCAGGACGACGAGGGGCAGGAGGAGGAGGAGGGCGGGCAGGCCGTGGAGGAGGGGCAGCCGTCCACGTCGTCCGCGCCGCCCGCGTCCCCGCTGCTCGTGCCCAAGGAGAAGGACGAGTCCCAGCCCGCCGACAAGGACGGCGAGAAGAGCGACGCGGCCGCCGTCAACTCGGACATGATCCTGGAGGCGCTCGAGTCCCTGGAGCACAAGAACCTGCGCGGGACTTCCCTGGAGCAGATCCTGGACTTCCTGCAGCGCAACTACCCCGTGAGTCGCGACCGCGGCGCGCTGCGGGCCGAGCTGACGGGCTGCATCCAGGCCGCCGTGGACCAGGGGCTGGTGCGCCTCAACCAGAACGGCTCCTACCGGCTGGCCTCGTTCCGGGAGCAGGCGTCGGACCGCGAGCACGGCAGGGACCCGGACGCCCAGAGCCGCGACAAGGACAAGGACAAGGGTCGCGGCAAGGCCGGCAAGGGGCGCGTCGCCTCGCCCCCCACCCCAAGGCCGCCCCCGCCCCCGCCAAGGTCCCGCGCCGCCGAGGACGCGGACGCAGCCGACGCGGCCGGGAGACCTCGGCGACGGCCTCCGAGGACTCGGACCCGGACTGGACGCCCTCGACGCCTGAGCCCAGTCGCGGCCGCGGTCGGCGCAAGGCGGCTGGCAAGGCGGGCCGCGTGCACATGTCCCCCGCCGCCAGCACCCCCGCGCCGCCCAGGGCCACCCGGGCCAAGCCACGCGCCGCCACCCCCGCCGCCTCCGCCACCCCCGCCCCGCCGCCAGCGTCGCGACGCCGCGGACGCCCCGCCCGGTCAGCCGCCAAAGCCGCCCCCGCCGCCAAGCGCAAGGCCTCCAAGTCGCCAGCACGGCCTCGCTCGCGGGGCCGGCCGCGCCAGCACAGCCGCTCCAGCAGAGCCTCCAGTAGATCCTCCAGCAGATCGTCCAGCCGGCCGTCTGCAGCGAAGAGGAGGAGGAGGGGAATGTAGAGCAAATGGTTGGTCCCTTGTGGTGTTACCTTGGCGCTTACTCTCACTCACGCATTTTGTAGATTTGTGCCTGCTGGTCTAAAAGTGTTTTGCTCTTTTCTCTTCCTGTCTTGTGTGTTGCTGTCTGCATCTTTTGTGTGTTTGTGATGGACGAACATGTTTTTGTACTTGAGCTGTGCCTTGCGACTTTTTATTTGTTAGGGTGGAACCTAACGCGCTGTGTCCCTGCCTGCTGTTTGTTGCAGCTGTAATGCTAAGCTTCCGCAGTGCCGTCCATCTGGAGAAATTAGAAGTGGACCATCCATTCCTTGTGATTCTGCGTTCCTCTGACGTGTGCCTGCTCCAGGGGCACATTGTGGAGCCTGCGTCTTCCGAATAAGTTCTTCTGAAACTCCGCCAAGCCTTGTCCTTGCCTTAACTTTTTACTAATGTTCTGGAATCATTTTACGCTTCAAATCAGAATTAATAATTTATTTGTTGTTTCTTATAAATTGTTTAATTTTTGTTTCGGCTTGTTTCAACTTTTTTTGTTTCTTATGAGTACAAAGATTAAAGTTACCAGTGCAGAGTGGTTTTCCCCAAGAACCGTATTAACCCACCTGTAAGTTGAATGTATAATTAAAACCAAAGAGGATAGTTTCAGTCCACCATTCTATTTTCATACTCTTTTTTTAAAATCTCGCATGTTAATTATGTGTCCAAGTAACTAAGATTTACCTTCGTCAAATTATTTTACTGCTGATAGATGCAATGCAATACTTACTACTAGCTTTACAATCTAGTCGCACAGGGGTAGGTAGACTTGCCTCTTCTGCATACAATATATTTATTGTATTATTTTCCCAGTCTGTACTTTCTATCGATCCATGAAGTCAGTATTGTACATAATCCATGCTCATCGAAACCCTTTTGCAGGTCTTGGTAATATTTGGATTACGTTCATAATAAATGCAAATCGTCATAAAGGATTTTATTTTGACAGACCATCACCTTGTCTCTTAAAACAAAATTGAATGAGCCACACCACTATCTCGTCTTGCATCTTATCTTCGATTATTTTTATTTTCTCATCTTGAAGAGAGTGTTTACATGTTGATGCAAAGAGGCTCAGTGTCCACTGCAGCCACCCACCCACATCTGCCAATACTTGCCACATATCTGCCGGGGTTTTCAATCCTCAAGGGTTGTGGCGCCACCAGGATGGGGAACAGCCTTCAGTCTCTGGGAGTGGTGCGTTTCTGCGTTGCATGGCATGCCAGTGCTCTAGTTGCTGCCTTTCCCATTGTGTGTCCTTTCTCCCCTGCCCTGCCCTGCCCGTCGTCCGACTGTCGTCCGACTCTGGAGCCCTGCCGCCTGTTCCAGGCTTCGCTCAAAACCGCAACGCGATCCCGCGGGTGCGCGTCAGGCACCCCGCGCTCCTGCGCCTAGTGTACAAACTCGCCGTGGGCGGCCTCGACCGGCCCAGCAGTGTCCTGATCGCGGACCTCCTGACGGGGAAGCAGCGAGCCCTGCCCGCCCACGCCGACAGGAACGCCACGCACGGGGAGGCCGTGGTCACTCTGTTCTTCGTGTCGCTGGTCTCGCCCGGCGACGTGGCCGCGGCGGCCGCGTGACGGACTCTGTGACGAGCAGCTAGGTCACGGCGCCCCCTCAGCCCGCAGCTCGCAACGCCCTCGTGTTGGGTTCGTATCCAAAGAGGAGTCCTGCAGCCTCATTCCGAGTCCTTTTCGTCGCTCTGTCTCTCGCGCACTTATGGGGCATCCCCTGAAGTTGCGAGAGAGACAGCGACGAAAGCGACTCCCCCGGAATCAGGCTGCTGGTTCAGAGACACAGTCAGAACCTGCGACGCCTCGGCGCTACGATCGCTCCGTCTGCACTACTCTCGGCACTTCCCTCGCCGAGCCGGATTGGTTGCCTACCCAGCCGGCGGTAGTGCTACGCGCGGTGCGTTGGGTTGCCTACGGCCTGGGCGCTCCCTGCGCACTGCCGCCTTGACACGCTTGCTCTCCTCTTCGCTGCGCGACTGCCAGACTCTCGGCGAGTGTTTCTGCGTGCGTGTGTACGTGGGATTTCAGCACCGCTCTTTTGACTGCCTTCTGTCGGTTTGGGTGTTGGCTGCCCTGGTCCTTGGTTCCTCCCCAGTGCACTACTCAACATTTTTCACCTGGCGCGGTTAGTGTCGGTTTGGCTGTCCCGCTCCCACTCCACTGTAATCTGTAATCTGTCTGTATCCGAAGCGAGGCCTTGTGGCTTTTCCTTTCTTGCTTGAAATCTTATCGCGCCAAAGCCGTCACGTCACGTGTCACGCGGCGAGTCACAGCGTCGCCGCCACTCCAAAACGCGCCCCGCGTCACGCCACTGCGGCGCAGATTGCCATTCAATCTTTTACGTTTAATGCCTTTTCTGCTGTCAGCTCAATTTTTGTTTTGGTTTTGTTTTTGAAGCAGTCTTTTTCCTCGAAGTTCGCCGTCCTGCGGCGCGCTCGCTGTGTAGGGTAGTGCACCGAGTTACCGTTCCTCCTTTCTTTTCTTGCAGGCTTTGCGATGGTGGCGCTCTCTGCCTTCATCCCCGAGTCCGAGCCGCCCAAGTTCGACGCCGACCACCCGTTCATGCTTCGCTTGCGCTCGGGCCGCGCCCTCGTGTTCGCTGGCAGTGTCTCCGACCCGCTCCAGGCCCTCAAGGCCTAGCGCCACACTGTGATATAACAGTGCAGTGCCGCGAGCGCGGCCTCGACGACCACTGTAGCTTTTAAGATTTGCACATTTGAGAGTCGTATCACAATAAGGAGAATAAAGTTGTCCCTTTTCAGCTACTCGGGTTTCATTTCTTTCTGTCTCTCTCTTTTCCTCTCACGTGGCCTGTGGAGGCCGGTCGCTTCACCCCCTTGCTTGTGCTTTTGCAGCCATGAGGATGAACCTGAGGATGGCGCCGTCCATGGACCTGCCGCGGCCCGTGCAGTGCGACCACCCTTTCCTGGTGGCGGTCGTCCGGGCCGCCCGGGCTGACGACGCCGTCCTCGAGGCCGGCGCCGTCCTCCCCCAGCCCCCGCCGCCCCCACCGGCTGTCTGCATGTTCGTGGGGAGCGTCGCCGCCCCCTGACGCCGGCCTTCGGCTTGACTCCATCGCTTGTCTTCACCGTCCGTCTTCCGCTCCGCTTGCACGCATCGCGCACTTCCGAAAACGCTTGCCCTTCGTTCCCGCGCGCTTCCCGTCTAGTCAATAAACGCAACCCAGTGGCATTCACTTGTGTTTGTTTCCTGCACCGCGAGGTGCCATCCATTCAAACGTGAAAACATTCTCTATCACACTCGGCCATTCACGTCATGTCACAGTTTCCATTACATGATTGTTGAAAATATTCTTTAAATTTTGCAGAGTACACACGAGACATGAAAAGATACACGTTTTTCTCTCTCGCAGTTTACTAGAAAAAATTATTCCAGGCGTCACTTTTCTCATTTTCTTTTTTCCCTAACCTGTACTTTGTATTTTAGGTAGGTTTTGCATGCCCGCATGTCGCACAGTGGTGCTGGACCCTCGAAAGCTTCGGGTTTAGACGAGCTTTTCCGCTTTCCGTTTTGCAGCCTTGGTGATGGGCAGGTCGCTGCCGCCGCGGCCGCTGCCGGACATCCCCTTCAAGGTGGACCACCCCTTCATCGTGGTGCTGGGCGCGCGCTTCAAGTCCAACCCGCGGCCTGTATGCATGTTCATCGGCAGCGTGTCCACAGTGTAGAGGCCGCCCCCCGCCTCTACGTCGCCTCGCTGGAGAATAAAGCCTTCCGCGCCAACACCGAGTTCCTCACTGAAACCCCCATCACACAGTGTTGCCAACAAAACATTTCCGCGGTGCCAGTCGATAGGGTTGCCATCTTCAGCCTGCCTTCGCGGCAACCACTCGAGAGCAAAGAATGGATATTGCCTAGCAAGCAGGCTGACGTTGGCAACCCTATCGTCACTGGCGCGTCGTGGAATTTTTCGCCTTTTTATGTGGCAGCACTGCATTCAATCGCATGGTCGTCTAAGGACTCTTGGGATGCAGCATGTGTCGTGCATGTCACAGAAAAATTCGGAAAATCTAGCCACGCGACAGGCTCGAACGAAATGATATAGTAGAGGTGTTCCCTTTAGTTTCTAGTCTAACTTAGACCCAAACTCTTAAAAAAAATTGGACATTTTTGTTTTTTGCTATAATAAACTCACAACAAACCCGTATGCTCGTTTAACTCTTTTGTCTTTTTTTTTTTGAAATTTCATTGTATGGCTAGGGCATTAGGTCGCATGAACAATATTTCAGGCACTGACTCTTTGGTCAGTAAAAAAATGTTTTGTGTTTATTTTATTTTTTTCAACATTTCAGTTTAAAACATGGGCATTTTTAAAAACTAGGTCATCAAATGACGAGGATGCAGGAGTAAATGTGCAAAATCGCAGAGACGCTTCACCGGAAAGAGACAGAAACGAACTAAACGTCCGTCTTCATTTTCATTTCCGTTTCCCGTTTTGCAGCCATGGTGATGTTGCGGTGCATGTCGGCGTCGCGGCCGCCGCCTGTCATCCCCTTCAAGGTGCACCACCCCTGTGTCTTGCGGCTCGTCGTCCGGCTGCCTCCGTCCGGCCAAGCCGCCACCCTCTTCGTCGGCAGCCTCTCCACTGTTGGCTCCAAATAAAGCTTCGCTCGCTCTCTCTCTTTCAAACCGATTGCCTTTGTTCATTATTCAAATCCCTCTTTCACACATTTCTCCTCACAAATCGCCATTGCGTTCATGAATCGTGAAAAAAAGACACGCAGAAAACGCATTCTTGGAATGAATCAAAATCGATTGAGCTAAACTTCAGACTCGCAAGAGTACGCAGCATGCCTGGAGCATGCTTGGCATAACCTTCGCCTTTACCTGGAGCATGCCTGTGCCTGAGAATGTAAACTGTTAAGTAGAAAATTTTGAATACGTGCATAGGTGGGGCTTCGTCTCATGAAGAATTGGAGTCTCAGCGAAAATGTTAAAATTTTGCTGGGACTGAAAAAAAATTCGATTTGAGGTCGTTACCATGCTACAAGCTCCTCTCGTGTTTTTGAACATATTTGTTTAAGTCAATTTACGCGCATTTCACAACAAATTGTCGATTCATTAAAAGTATTCGGGTCCAACCAGACAAGCAAAATTAAATCGCCTTAAATTGAATCACCGATTATTTTTTTTTTTTTTCATTTTCCATTTTTCAGCCGTTGAATTTATGCTGACGTCGTTCGTCGAGCCGCCAGCTCCTCCCTCCTTCGAGGTGGACCGCCCCTGTGTCCTGAGGCTCACCGCCCGCCTGCCACGGTCCGGCCAGGGGCAGGGCCAGGTCCAGGTCGCCTCGCTTTTCATCGGCAGCCTCGCGGACCCGTGAACGGATGCCGACAGGAGCACTCCGTTTCCATCAGCAACCCGTCGGGCCTGTAAAGGGAACCCGGCAGGGGCACTCCCCTGAAAATAATAAAAACCTTGGCCATCGCACGAACCGATCACGTTGTCCATTATCCAAACCCTTTTCTCGCGAGCATGGTCGAGGAGGCTTGCGGGGCATGCCATGGCATGGGGGTTGGAAAGCAACTCACAGTGCAGGGTCACCTACAACGCGCCAAAATACCCAATCAATTTTTCAGCAACTGTGTGAACTACTCAAAATACTCAAAAATAAATACGTATCATTGAAACATGCCTCGATCGTTGTTTTGTCATTGAAACCCTCTTCACTCTCGCATGATCGAAGGGAGCTTGTGGAGCACAGCATGGAGGGCGGAACGCTACTACACTGGGATCTCGTCAGGTATTATAAAACAGTAAACGCCTGAAAGTGGGCAAAATGTGTGGTGAAACCCTGAAGGCGCGGGCCGGCAGGCTTATCCCGTCTGTCTCTCTCGCACCGTTACGGGACGCTCCACGAGTGCGAGAGAGACAGAGCGACGCAGTTCAGGGGTGGTCCCTTCCTCTGCCGCAGGTATTGACGTGGTGCTCAAGTCGCTGCTGGTGCAGGAGGTGTACCCCGAGGTGTTCACAGCGAGCCGCCCCTTCCTGGCGCAGCTCCGGCACCGCGGCACCGGCACCGCACTGGTTGTAGCGAGCGTCGCCGACCCCTCCTCCTGACGGCCCCCGCCCCTGGTCCGAGGGCCAGGCAGCGCGAGTGACGCGTCGCACCGATGACTTCCAACAGTGTGACAGCAGGCGCGACTAACAGTGTGACAGCCGCCGTGACCAACAGTGTGACAGCCGGCGTGACCAACAGTGTGACAAGCCGGCGTGACTAACAGTGTGACAGACGGCGTGACCAACAGTGTCACAGCCGGCGTGACTAACAGTGTGACAGCCGGCGTGACTAACAGTGTGACAGACGGCGTGACTAACAGTGTGACAGCCGGCGTGACTAACAGTGTGACAGCCGGCGTGACCGACAGCGTGACTCATGTCCGTGTTAGAGAGTGACACGTCACGTGACGGCCGCAGGCTGATTCCGAACAGCGTTGACGCCACTCTGTCTCTCTCGCACCCTGAAGGGACGCCGCCGTGAGTGCGAGAGAGACAGAGCGATGAAAGCACAGTTCAAATTCAGCCTGCAGTGGGTCGCAGTGCAGTAAAGAGGACACTTGTCAGCGCGGTCAGACTGTTTTTTGTTGTGTTTTTTTTTTCTACTTCCTTAATCCTCGCTACAATCTTCTGTCAATCACGAAATGTGTGGCATTATTCCGCACCTCATTTGTTGAAATATAAGTTCAAGTTTTCTCCCGCTGCCTCTATCCGACCCTTCGTGAGGCACCTTAGACTTCGTGGAAGATGGATTCCAGCTTACACGTCCCACACTGAGAATAAACTATTTTGGGCCTTACAAAGAAAAGTAGTTTGTAAAACAAAGTATTTTGAGCATACGTAAGCTTACAAAGAAAATACTTTGTAATTTACGAACTATTTCTTCGTATAACAAAGTATTTTAGTTTGTTATATGTATGCTCAAAATACTTCGTAAGGTTTTAAGAGTGCACCAGACAGCTGTGTGGAGTGGACTGATTCCCGCACGGTGCTTCGTCACTCTGTCTCTCTCACAGGACGCCCCGGTACGCCCCACGAGTGCGAGAGAGACAGAGCGACGTCAGCCCGATGCGGAATCCGTTGGCCGGTGTTCGAGATCGGGGTTGGCTCGGCGGAGAGATCGCGGCCTCCCCCCGGGGAGCGCCTGCGAGGTAGGCAACTTACGGGACCAGCGTGCACGGCAGCGCGGCGGGCTGGCCTACACTGCAAGGCGCTCTCAGCCCCTCTCTCCGCGCCATTCGCTGCTGCACTGTTTCCTGTGGGCGCAGGCGGCCTAAACTCGGGACACTTTTTGAGCTCCGGAGTCGCCAAAGAGGACTCGAACCGAGCGTGTGACCCCACCAATGGATCCCTCGTTCGGAGAGCAATCCATTGGTGGGGTCACACGTTCGGTTTGAGTCCCATACCGACTCTGGAGCTCAAAACGCGTCCGGGATTTTGACCGCCTCCACCGGTCCTCTGGCCCACTGTGCTGCTGTCTCTTCGGCCACCGAGTCGGACCGAAGTGAGCCGTGCAGAACCACAGCAGCGCCACTTACGCGACAAATCGGCGGGAGACAGGACATAAGAACGCCACCCCCCAAAAAATTGTACAAAGTAATCGCAAGTCGATAATGACGTGACATGAAGGAGCTGCATAGTTTTAGTAATCCTCTGAACAGAAAGATAGATCGATTGATCTCCAGGCTTACTGGCGATAACGAAAAAGCCCAACACGGGAGGCTATCTGGCGCCACGAGGGGACAGTTCCCGTGGAGCTGCCTTGCTTTTCAGTACCGAGGTGAGTGCCGGGATTTCACGCAAGCGTCGAGCTACGTTCGGCTCAAGAAAAACAGTCATTATTTGAAAGGGAGAAAACATCCAAGAATTTTGAAATTTGAAAGAAAAGGTGAACGTGGTTTGCGTGCCTTGAGGAGGTCTCTGTAGGGAGGGGTGGACAAAGACGGACTCCTCCCTACACTGCGAGGAAAATTGAAGGCTGGGGGATGATAGGCAAATCGCAGTACACGCCAACCCATAGCACGAGTACGCTGGTGGTTCACCCCTCGCTCTCTGCAAACGCATGTGTGTGCATATTTGAAAATGTGTGCCATGCACACACTCGCGTTTGCGGAGTGGCTTCACCGAAGGGCGCTGCGCCTCCTTGACCCGTTCTCGACTAAAATCGGTCAATGTGACGTCATCCTGACGTCATCCTGACGCATCGTCGTGCCATTCGTGTTCCACCCGGGCCAGGGCGCGATCCAGGTCCACAGCAGCCATGCAAGTGCTGTGCGCCGTTGGCGCCGTCGCCCTGGTGTGCCTGGCGCTGCTCCAGGCCGCCCAGGTGGAGTCCGCCAGTGTGTCCGGCCAGCGGCAGCTTCTCAAGGGGTCGCTGGTCGGGCGGCGCCGCCTGCCCCCGCCGCCCCCGCGCCGCGGCAACAGGCTCGGCGACGACGCCGTGACGACGCACTGGTACCCCACCCAGCTGCTGGACCACTACGACGTCACCAACGACGCCCGCTGGAGCCAGGTGAGCGATTCTGTCTCTCTCGCACCTGTGCGAGACTCCAGTGAGCCCCGTGACTGCGAGAGAGACGCACAGAGGGCCAGAAGACCGGTGGAGGCGGTCAAAGTTCTAGAAGAGTTTTGAGCTCTAGAGTCACTTAATGGGACTCGAACCTAACGTGTGACCCCACCAATGGATTGCTCTCCGAACGAGGAATCCATTGGTGGGGTTGAGTCCCATTTCGCGACTCTTGGGCTCAAAACGCGTCTAGAGTTTTGGCCGCCTCCTCCGGTCTTCTAGCCCCCTGTGAGACGGTGAGGCACGATGGTCGGAATGGCACTGCTGACGTCCGCCTGTGTTCAGCGCTACTTCGCCAACCCCAGCCTCTACGAGGAGGGCGGCCCCATCTTCATCTTCATCGAGGGCGAAGGTGAGGCCCAGTCGGGCTGGATCGCCGAAGGTGGCAGCTTCATGTACTCGCTGGCCGAGGAGTTGAAGGCCAAGATGTACGTGCTGGAGCACCGGTACTTTGGCAAGAGCAGGCCCTTCCCGTAAGTACTACACCGCTTTAGGCCAGAAGGCCGGAGTGGAGGCGGCCAAACCTCTAGACGCGTTTTGAGCTCCAGAGTCGCTAAATGGGTCTCAAACCGAACGTGTGACCCCACCAATGGGTTGCTCTCCGAACGAGGAGTCCATTGGTGGGGTCACACGTTTGATTCGAGTTCCATTTAGAGAAACCGGAGTTCGAAATTCGTTCAGAATTTTGGCCGCCTCCATAGGTCTTCTGGCCCACTGTGCGCTGACTGCCAGTGCTCGCAAGAAGAGTACGCATGGTCTGTTTCCCTAACGCCCCACCGGCCGCAACAGGAACATCACGACCGAGAACCTGCTGTGGCTCACCCCCGACCAGGCCATCGCCGACCTGGCGCGGTTCATCGAGTACCTCATCGACCAGGGCGAGATGAAGGAGGGCCAGAAGGTGGCCGTGTTCGGCGGCTCCTACCCGGGCAACCTGGCCGCCTGGTCCCGATACAAGTTCCCCCACCTCATCAACGCCGCCGTCGCCTCCAGCGCCCCCGTCCGCGCCAAGCTCAACTTCCCCGGTGAGGAGGCCGCCGGCCCGCCGCCAGCAGACTCATTCCGAGAGTCGCTTTCGTCGCTCTGTCTCTCTCGCACCTATACGGGACGCGGTCATGAGTGCGAGGAAGACAGAGCGACGAAAAACGACTCTCGGAATCAGTCTGCTGGCCAGCCAAGCCGTGTGGAGAAAAGGCGCTGAAAGTTCAATTTTTTCTCCCCCAGAATACATGGAGGTGGTGACCCGGTCCATCCGCAGCGTGGACGGCGACGAGTGCGCCGACAACGTGCAGAGGGGACTCGAGCGGCTGAGGAAGCTGGCCATGACCACGGACGGCCTCAAGCAGATCCAGAAGTGGTTCTAGTACGTCTCGGCCGTCTCGGCGATGCACGGTGGGCCAGAAGACCGGCCCAGGCGGCCTAAACTCTTGACGCGGTTTGAGCTCCAGAGTCGCTAAACAGCACTCGAACCAAACGTGTGACCCTACCAATGGATTCCTCGTTCGAGTGCTGTTTAGCGACTCTGGAGCTCAAAACCCATCCGGGATTTTGACCGCCTCCATCGGTCTTCTGACCCACTGTGCCATGCACACTGTGCAGGGGTTTGTTCGATAATCGAACCTGAAAATGAATTCACATGATTCATCATGATTCATCCTGTCCAACCCTGCTATTGTTTTCACACTCTCTGTTTGCGCAGCATGTGCGATCCCCTGGACACGAGCAACAAGCTGGACATGGACATGTTCTTCAACATCCTGTCCAACCCGTTCGCCACGGCGACGCAGTACAACCGCGACAACAGTGGGGCTAAGTACAGCATCAAGTCCCAGTGCAAATACATGAAGGACAAGAAGACGGACGACGACGCCGCGGCCGCGCTCGCCGACGTGTTCGTGGCCAGCCAGTACTTCATCATCGGCTGCATCGACTGGACCTACAAGGCCAACACCGAGAGCTTGAGGTCCATCGAGTACAAGGGCGCAGGTGCGTGGCGGCGTGGCGGCGTGTAGCGTGGAGACACTGGTGAAACTGAACTGGCACTGATCCAGTATGGGTGGGAACAGCCCCTAAGGCAAAAGGCCACACATTTTGCCTCAGTAAGTACACTGCAAATCCGGGAGCAAAGTATACTTGCCACAAAATTGGCAAGCCGCTTTGAGTGCCGAAAATTGGCAAAGCCCGACCCTGGCATACTCCACTCCCTTGCTAGCCAAATATTGGCAAGCTAATGAGGATTTCGGGCCAAAGCTTGCCAATTTTCGGCATTGAAATCGGCTTGCCAATTTTGTGGCGAGCAAACTTGCCACAGGGTTTACAGTGTAGGAGAGGGTGTTGAACGCGGTGATGATCCGTTGTCCTCCAGACCGCCAGTGGGTGTACATGACGTGCACCAGCTTCGGCTACTACCAGACGCCGGACGGTGACACCATCTTCCCCAAGGGATACTTCGGCCTCGACTACTTCCTTCAGCAGTGCACGGACGCCTTCGGCGAGAAGTACGTTTATTTATTTCCGTTTTCGCTAGGCATGTTTTTAACCTGACCTAACCTCACCTAACCTAACCTTAACAATCTAACCTAACCTTAACAACCCAACCTTACCTTAACAACCCAACCTAACCTCACCTAACCTAATCTAACCTTAACAACCTAACCTAACCTTAACAACCTAACCTAACCTTGACAACCTAACCTAACCTTAACAACCAAACACCTAACCTAAGCCTATCTACCTAAACGTAAACCTCACTGATGTTGCAACCCTCGGTACAGCTTCGCCGAAAAGCTGAACCAGAAGGGCGTGACGCGCACCAACGTCGTCTACGGCGCCCTCAAGCCCGACGTGGAGCACGTCATGTTCGTCAACGGCGAGATCGACCCCTGGCACGCGCTGGGCGTCGTGGAGCCCCTCAACGCCGAGTCCCCCGCCGTGCTCATCTCCAGTGAGTCCCGTCATTTCGTCACTCTGTCTCTCTCTCGCACCGGGGAACGGCACATAGAGAGAGACAGATGCACGGCCAGAAGACCGCCGCCAAAACTCCAGACGCGTTTCGAACTCCAGAGACGCTGAATGGAGCTCGAATGGAACGTGTGACCCCACCATTTGATCGCTCTTGGAGCGAGGAATCCATTGGTGGGGTCACACGTTCGGTTCGAGTCCTGTTTAGCGACTGTGGAGCTCAAAACGCGTCTAGAATTTTCGGCGTCTCGATCGGTATTCTGGCCCACTGAGTGCTGACCGCCGATGTCTTCCCCACAGCTACCTCCCACTGCTACGACATGTACCCCAACCAGTACGCGGACAGCGACGAGCTGAGGCAAGCCCGGGAGCGCATCCGCGAGTTCCTCATCGACGCCCTGTACGAGAGCCCCGACAGCGACAACCCCACCATCAGCCCCTGACCGCGCAGACCGCGCAGTGCGCGCAGCAAGAAACAAAAGCCAAACCCCCAATTCCGAGACAAGAGACTGTCGCTGCCGAGGCAGCATGTATTCATCGCAAAAATGTCACAAGTGTGCAACATCTGAATAAAAACAAGCTCACTCACACTAGCGACTCGTTCGCGCATTGCACCCCGACACTGTATCTATGACGCGAGCACTCCTTGGAACATAATCTCCCTGATTGGGTCCCTATCGCAAATCAAACAAGCTACCATTCTGCCACATGTCGTGCCCTACAATTGGGACCTTCGCAATTTACAATGATGTGCACTGCGTGCACGAGCTGGGGTAAAAAAGGTCATCCTCCAAAAAAAGGAGTTCCATTCGCTCCAAAAAGCCCGCCAAGATTCGCCCTGCCGACGTCACTGCGTTTCTGCGGGCGGGGAGGCTTGTTGCGCACAGTGTAGTGGCCGCCTGCCGTGCCAATTGCTATCAGGCAACAATTTGTCATGATAAACCCTCACTCAACGCGGCTCATCGGCTCTCAATCAGTTCGGTAGCGCCGTGCAAGGAACTAACACCTGTAAGAGGTGAGTCCCGAAATCCTGGCGCCTGGCGTCACGGGGGGGGGGGGGGGGGGGGGGGCACTGACTCTATTTTTTAAACGAAACTAAGACACGCTGTAAACTTTTTACGTGTACCCACGTATATCACGCACAGACCACTCTGTAAAAAAACGAATGGATTTAGCGTGGCACAACGGGTGATGTCACCACAAATATTTCTTCGTCCGCACCTTACGGATAATTTTGTTAAAGTTCGTTACGCACACGAAAACGATTGCATTGCGGGAAAAGTCACTAGTAGTACAAGCAAACTCCATCCGTAATTATATTTTCACGAATTGTCTGTATGACGGCTACATGTTGTCCGTCCGTAAGGAGTCTTGAGGACACCAAGGGGGCAACCTCTCGAGAAATCCTGCGTACCCTAGAGCTCTCGAAATCTCTGGAAATCCGAAATCTTCGGAAATCTTTCCCCAATAGGCAAAAAACAAGCAAATTTTACGCGGAAAATTACACGAAATATTGCGAAGAAGAAGTCTCTTCTCTGGTGTCCCCAATCATGAAAAGTGGATGCACCCTCGATTATGCCCAAAATAAGGGATTCTTGAACGCGTTGCAGCACGGGTCCAACATGCTCGCCCTCCAGGCAGCCGCGCTGCTGCTGCTGGGCGTGGCCCTGTGCCAGCCGGCCGCCGTGCCCGAGGACCTCAAGCAGTCCAGCGCCCAGGCGCCCGTCCTGGACGCCGTCAAGAACCGCTTCCAGTACCGCAGGCTGGGGTACCTGCCGCCGCCGCCGAGGCCCGGACGCATGCTCCGCGCCAGCCCCGTGGAGGAGCTGTACGTGGAGCAGATCCTGGACCACTTCACCGTCACGGACAAGAGGACCTGGCAGCAGGTGGGTGGCCGACGGAGGCGCAGCCAATAGGGCACCCGACCGGCGGATCCTGAGTCTGCCTGAGACAGTGGGGGCAAAGTAGCACTCTGCTGACTTCCAGGGGCAATGTGTTGTGTTTCGCCTCTACGTTCCGCGGGCTATCTGTCTGGGGGCTCTAGACGGGAAAGGGAGGGAAATATCCCATCCCTTCCCGCACTCTTAAAACCTTACGAAGTATTTTGAGCATTCATATAACAAACTAAAATACTTTGTTATACGAAGAAATAGTTCGTAAATTAGGAAGTATTTTCTTTGTAAGCTTACGTATGCTCAAAATACTTTGTTATACAAACTACTTTTCTTTGTAAGGCCCAAAATAGTTTGTAAGGTTTTCTCAGTGCGTTGGATCCTCCTTTGGGTCTTTGGCCCCCTGGCTAGCCTCCCGGATCGTGATAGATCTGAACGTGGTGTTCCAGCGCTACTTCAAGCGGACCGACATGTACGAGGACGGCGGCCCGGTCTTCATCTACATCGGCGGCGAGAGTCAGGAGGGCGCATCCCGCCTGGCGGACTTCGGCCTGTATTTGACCTACATGGCGCAGCTGCTCCGGGCCAAGACCTACTCCCTGGAGCACCGCTACTACGGCAAGAGCCACCCGCTCCCGTAAGACTTCCCTCACTGCCACGATCCAGGGTTTGAGAACCCCTTATCTGCACTCACCCACAGACCGACTGACAGACAGACAGACAGACAGACATACATACATACATACATACATACATACATACATACATACAATACATACATACATACATACATACATACAGATATATATCATACAGACAGACAGACACACACACACACACACACACACACCATGGTTCTAACACCTCGTTGATGGCATATGTCCGCAGAGACCTGACCACCGCCAGCCTGCAGTACCTGTCGGCCGACCAGGCCCTGGCCGACCTGGCCTACTTCATCGAGTTCCTCAAGAAGAGCGGCGAGATCGAGGACGGGCAGCCCGTGGCCGTGTTCGGCGGCTCGTACCCGGGCAACCTGGCGGCCTGGGCGCGCCAGAAGTACCCCCACCTCATCAAGACGGCCATCTCCTCCAGCGCCCCCGTGCACGCCAAGGCCGACTTCGTAGGTGCGCGACGATCCAGGGGTGGCCCCTCGGGTGGCCCACTGTGCCATTTTGTGTGCCGTGATTGTGGGAATGAACTGGCATGTGAAAGATTTCTGCAGTATTTGCCAGGTGGTTTCGTATTTGGAGGGTAGTTACAGGCTATTTTTGAAGCCTGATTGCGGAATGTGCCCATGTCTTGCAATAATGAATGTGGGTCCCCTCCTCGGCGATGATGGCTTTGCGACTGAAATCGTAGCAAAAACTTATCAACGATATAACTTATACGCCCAGTTGTGTACTGACTGCATTTTCCTACATTCCATTTATTTCCTTATTGCAGAGTACATGGAAGTGGTCGGTCGTTCCCTGAACAGAGTGGCAGGCGAGTTCTGCTTCAACAACATTAAGAAGGCCACGGACAGGGTCGTGGAGCTCCTCAAGACGACCGAGGGCTACGCCACTGTGAAGAAGGTCTTCCGGTAAGTCGGCCTGACCCCCTCATCCCTTCCACCCCGCCTCTGCTCCCCGTAAAGCGTGGACCCAGAAAAGGGGGGAAAGGGCCTTTGGCCCCTAGGCCTGTAAGTTAGGCAAATAGCAACACTGTGTCCCTGTCAGTGCGCAAAAGGTACTGCTGCCCCCTCCTGGATCCGCCACCGCCCCCGTGCCTCACGCCTGCCCCCTGCGTTGCCCGCAGCATGTCCACCGAGCTCAAGGACAAGCTGGACCTGGACGCCTTCTTCGAGACCCTGAGCAGCCCGTTCGCCGGCGCCGTCCAGTACAACCGCGACCACCCGCCGAAAAGCGTCTACAGCATCAAGTACATCTGCAGCTTCATGGCCGGAGACGACCTGACGCCGGACGAGGCCATGAGCAAGCTGTCCAAACTGGTGCTCGGCGAGCCCGCGGACCCCAACAAGACGTTCGACTGGTCCTACAAGTCCAGCATCAAGCAGTACCAGAGGACCGAGTACGTGCAGGACAAGTCAGGCGAATTCAGCTCGGGTGAGTACCTGAAGAAATTTTCCCTCGTTAAAGTTTTCTCTGAAATCATTGAGTGCCACTTTCGATATTGGGTCGTAGATCGCCAATGGATTTACCAGACGTGCACTGAGTTCGGATACTACCAGACCTTCTCCGGGAAGGACATCCCGTTCCCCTCCGGCTACAACGACATTCAGTACAGTTACCAGACTTGCAAGGATCTATTCGGGGATGAGTAAGCACACTTTTATTTAGAGCGTTTATTTTACCACGGAGCCTCTTGCTTGACAGAGTTGTCTGTTGAAAGTCCATCTCCATCCTTGAACCCCGAACCTTGAACCCTCATCGTTGAACCCTGAACCCTGAACCTTGAACCCCGAACCTAGAACCCTGAATCGTGAATCCTAAACCTTGAACCCCGAACCTTGAACCCTGAATCGTGAATCCTGAACCCTGAACCTCGAACCTTGAACCCTGAACCCTGAGCCATGAACCCTGAACCTTTAACCTGACGCGAGTCTCGGTGCACAGCTTCGACGAGAAACTCATCACCGGCGCGGTGGAGCGCTCGAACCTGGTGTTCGGTGACCGCTCGCCCGACGTCACCAACGTCCTGTACATCAACGGCAACGTCGACCCCTGGCACGCACTCGGCATCCTGCGCAACGTCAGCGCCACCAAGGCCCCGGCCTTCGTCGTGGACGGTCAGTCCAAGTTTTACCACATTTCTATTTTATTTGTTTTGTTTTTTCACCGAGTTGATGGCCTTGTTCTCCTCCTGCAGGCGGATCCCACTGCGCTGACATGGACTACCCGGACGACACTTCGGACTCCGACGAGATCAAGGCCGCCCACGAGATGGTGCACCAGTTCCTCCGCACCACCCTCTACGAGGTGCCCGACGGCCAGCCCGCCGACGGCTAGAGCAGGCTAGCGCGCCCACCCCTCCTGCCCGGCGGTCCAGCGAGTGGACTCGCAGCCGCCATCCCAGTGACGGATGTGACGTCAACCCCAGGCTGCGAGTTTGCACCCCTAACTGAACTTGAATGACAAATAAACCAAACAAAAGCGATGACGCCTTTTCATTTCATTCACTGCCCGCGGAGGTGATCGTGGCAGGTGTACGGCAATAGATCCACCCCCCTGGTAAAAGAACCGGGGGTGACTTTACCGCGGGATAAAACCACCGCCCTTGGCTGACTCCTGAGAAGGGGTGGTTTTATACCGAGGTAAAGTCACCCCCCTGCTGGTCCTGGGGAGTGGTTCTATCCCGTGGTAGAACCACCCCCCTAGCTGGCTCAGGGGGGTGCATCTATCACGGGATAAAACCACCCCCCAAAGACGGGGAGTTACTTTATCACGGGATGAAACCACCCCCAAATTTGCATATTTGACGGGTTTTAACAGCACTTCTCACCACACGATAAAACGAAAGCCTCACACTAATTAATTACTATGTAGTTTTTTCTGCGCGCCAATGCACGAAATTAAACATGCACTTCGTAACGCACGAATTTGTGCGCGACAAGAAACGATTTCGTGCGTGAATATGCAGAAAATCGTGCATTGTCGCGCACAAATTCGTGCGTTACGAAGTGCATGTTTAATTTCTTGCATCGGCGCGCAGAAAAACCTTCATAGTAGTAATTTGGTGTGTAGAATGCAAACAAAAAATCGCGAAGGTGTTTGCAATACAAAGCTGGTGAATATTACGTTTCCAAAGCACTTTCGTTTGCAAGCTTTCAAGTATGCGCCCCGATTTTGGGTGTACAATCTTCTGGAGACGGAAAAAAGCGTAAAGATGACCGGGACGCTCTCCCGTAAAATATGCGAAATATGGGGGGTTGTTTCATCACGAGATGAAATGACCCACCATTTTCAGGGGGGTGCTTTAATCACGGGATGAAACCACCCCCCGGTGGTTCTATCCCGTGATAAATGCACCCCTCTGAGCCAGCTAGGGGGGTGGTTCTACCACGGGATAAAACCACCCCCTACACGGATCAGGGGGGTGACTTCACCACGGGTTGAAACCACCCCCCTGAGGAATCAGCCTGGGGGGGTGGTTTTATCCCGTGGTAAAGTCACCCCCGGTGCTTTTTCCAGGGTGGGTGGATCTATAACCTCACACCGGCTTGCCCCGCCGCGGCCGCCCCGGCGCGATGGGTCCGCGTCGCTGCCAGAACACCTGGCGGCCCTTGAGGTAGCGCACGGCCTCCTCGGCCAGCCCGCGCACCTGCTGCCCCTTGAGTCCTGGAAGCGGGGAAAGGCACTCTCACTCTCGCACTCTCAGTCTTTGCTGCGCTGCTTCCTGCCTCGCTCTGTCTCTCCCGCACCCCGTGCCAACGCGCCATGCGTCTTTCGAACCTACGATAGCCACCCCATGAGTGCGAGAGAGACAGAGCGACGAGGCTTCGCACGGAAGACCGGTGGAGGCGGCCAAAATCCTAAACGCAGTTTGAGCTCCAGAGTCGCTAAATGGGGCTCGAACCGAGCGTGTGACCCCATCAATGAATTGCTCTCCGAACGAGGAATCCATTGGTGGGGTCACACGTTTAGTTCGAGTACTGTTTAGCGACTCTGGAGCTCATAACGCGTCTGGAGTTTTAGCCACGGATGCCGGTCCTCTGGCCCACTGTGGTCACTCACTGGGGTCGCGCGCGATCTGCTGCAGGAAGGCGGCGTCGCGGCCGAGCGAGGGCGGCAGCCTGTCCGTGCCGGGCCGCAGCGTGGCCACGGCGTCGAGGGGCTGCGGCCGGCCCGCGCCGCTGTCGCCGCTGCTGCCGTCGTGGCGCTTGGGGCGGCGCCGCGGCAGGTGCAGAGCGCGGCGCGGCGGCGACGACGGCCTGCTGCCGGCCGGGCTGGGCGACAGCACCATCAGCTTCTCGCGGAGGTGCTTGTTGCGGCCGTCGTGCGCGTTGGTCACGCTCAGGATGAGGGCGATCTGGCGCGCCTCCTCCTCCACCCCGCCGCACACCCCGGACGTCGCAGCCGCCCCGGCCGCCTCTGCCGCCACCCCCGGCACCCCCGGCAGCGACAGGGACGGCGTCGGCGACCGGCACGACGCGTCCGCGCACTGGTGCGCCGTGTTGCAGCTCTCGCAAATACCGGAAGCCTGTGGGACAGCATCACTCTACAAATTTTTTACAAACATTTTAAGCACAGAAGAGCACAGCGCAAGAACAACAACAACCGATTTGCTCCGTGTTTTAAGTGAAGTCAACACTGCTGACACTGCGTACCAGCGAACGCTCCTGCTCCTGGTCGGAGCCCTCGTCGCCCTGCGCCCACTGGTTGTTCCACGCCATGACGGTCTTGACGGCGTCGCCGGCCGGCCCCAGGACTCCGAGCGCGCCTATGGCGCCCATCCGCAGCTCGGCCTCCCTGCGCGCCGAGCCCAGGCTGCTGTCCTCGTCGGCCCAGACGCCGCCGCGGAGCAGCCGCTCGCACGACGACAGCGCGAAGTCCCTCGGCAGGCAGCCGATGATGTTCATGATGGCCTCCCTGGAGCGCTGGATGCCGGCGCGCAAGGCCGAGTTCTCGGGGCGCAGGCGGCTGCCGCGGTGGAACATGACCAGCGCCTTCTCGAAGTGCCCCATCGAGTACAGCGCGTGCGCCTTGTGCAGGAACGCTGCCAACACCGCCAGTTGCAACAACGAATGCTTGTGAAGAAGAGCACCGCACAGTGGGCCAGAAGACCGGTGGTGGCGGCCAAAACTCTAGACGCGTTTTGAGCTCCAGAGTCGCTGAACAAGACTCGAACCGGACGTGTGGCCCCACCAATGGATTCCTCGTTCGGAGAGCAGTCTATTGGTGGGGTCACAAGTTCGGTTCGAGCTCTGTTTAGCGACTGGAGCTCAAAAACGCCTCTAGAGCTTTGGCCGTCTCCGTCGGTCTTCTGGCCCACTGTGCACCGCCCTACACCCACCAGCGTTGTCAGTCGTGTCCAAGTCCAGGGCGTCCTCAGCGTCCAGCAGGGCGAGGCGGGGCTGGCCCAGCTCCTGGTAGCACTGGCTGCGCTCCAGCAGAGCCGCCTTGCTCACGGGGTCCAGGAGCAGCGCCTGGAACAGAGGCGAACAGAGGTTCAAAGATTTAATTCAAGGAATTTCGACACAAACCTTCTATCTTCGATGAACAAAATGAGTGAATCGGGGAATGGTCCCACACAGTGGGCCAGAAGACCGGCGCCGGCGGCCAAAACTCTAGACTCTAGACTCGAACAGGACGTATGAACCCAACGATGGATTCCTCGTTCGAAGAGCAATCCATTGGCGGGGTCACACGTTCGGTTCGAGTCCCACTCAGGGACTCTAAGGCTCAAAACGCGTCCGGGATTCTGACCGCCCCACTGTGCCCCACCTGCTCGGTGAGCTGCAGGGCGGCGCGCGGCTGGCCGGCCCGGCGGTGCGCGCGCGCCATGGCGGTGAGGCCCGAGGGCTGCGCGCAGGCGGGCAGGCTGAAGCCCCTGGCGGCGGCGAGGGCGCGGCGCTGCTGCTTGAGGCTCAGCTTGATGTCCTTCTCGCCCATGACGACGGCCGCGTTGCGCGTCTTGTCGGTGTACTGCTCCACGCCGCCCTCGCCGCAGCTCAGCAGCATGAGGCGTCGGCGGTGGCGGCGCTGGCGCAGGATGTTGCGCAGCAGGTCCTCGCGGCGCCGGGACCTCGCCGTCGACTCCCCGCCGGCCGCGCCGCCGCGTGTCGACGCCGACATGCCGGACACCGAGCCCGCGTCGCGGCGCCCGTCCTCCGCTGGAGAAGGACTCTCTGAGCGCGACCGCCACGACAAGGCCTCGGCGAACCCACTGCTCTTCGCTGTCTCTCTCGCTCCCTACGACACATGCCGTGAGCGCGAGAGAGACGGAGCGACGGGTGCGGGCAGCGGGTACTAACGTACCTGTACCTGTCGGCTCCGACTCCGCCGCGGGGGCCGCGCCGGCGGCGCCCTGGACCGAGCCCTGGCCAAGGCCCTGGCCACCTCGCTGCCGGTCGCTGTCCGAACCGCGGTCCGCGCCGCCGCTGCTCGCCACTTCGGACCCCGAGAAGGACGACTGGGTCTCTGCAAGCACCGCGTGATCAAGAGCTCCTCCGCCGCGTTCATTCAACCGCCCTTCAGACTGATTCCGAGAGTCGGTTTCGTCGCTCTGTCTCCCTCGTACCTATTTATAAGGGGGGCGCTTTGAGTGCGTAAGAGACAGAGCGACGAAAACGACTCCCGAAATATGTCGGCAGCCGCCTAGTTTCCACGCACCGTACAGCCGCAGTCGCATGAAGTTGGTGAGGATGTCCTTGTCCCTGCGCAGGCGCTCGATCTGCTTGGCCTCCTGCAGCTGCTGCAGCTGCTGGCGGCGGCGCTGGCGGTGAAGCTGCAGGTGCACGCGGCGCCGGATGCGCAGCGACCGCCGTGCCAGGTCGGCCAGCTTGCACTGCCCGATGTCCTTGACGCTCTCCTCGTCCTCATCGTCGGTGGCGTCCTGGAACGAAAGGACATGCCTAAGGGACCGCCTCCGTGCATCGCTGCCATCGCTCTGTGTCTCTCGCACTTGAGAGGCGCACAGTGGGCCAGAGTCCCATTTAGCGTCTCTGGAGCTCAGAACGCGTCCGGGACTTTGACCGCCTCTACCGGTCTTCCGGTCCACTGTGCGGAGTGCCGCAGCCGCCAAGGTCCGCGATGCGCTCACCTGCAGCGGGCTCTGCGGGGCCTCCTCCTCGTTCGTGGTCGCGTCCACCGTGATAACGGGGGCGCAGAGCATGGTGCCGAACTGACTGAGCCCCCGAGTGGCCCGAGTGGCTGGCAGGGCCAGGCAGGGCGAGCCTCCCCCTCCTGCCCTCTAGTGCCCCCAGGTGCCCCCAGGTGCCCCCTGGTGCCCCCTGGTGGGGCCCACGGGGTTACCCGGCCGCAGCCCGCAGCCCTGGCGGCCTGGCCAACTGATATTGAACCACGAAGAGGTTCATTTCACACATCGCACGCGGCCAGCGGCGCCGGCGGCCCGTCAGCCTGCCCCTCTTCGTGGCGAGGTTCTTGGCTCGGAGGTGGGGTCGGGTCGATGGGCTCATGGGCTCCTTTCCATGTCTCGGGGTTATTATCGCACTCTTTTGCTGCGCCTCATTCCCGCCTGACACCTCCCGACACCCCCAACAACACCTCCAGGCACCCCCAACAACACCTCCACACACCTTCAACGACACTACACCTGACACCGCCCACCCTCATACCCACTGACACCTCCTGGAACTTCCTGACTCGTCCTGGCACCTCGACTCCACTTATGACAACTCCTCTGACACCAAGATTTTACTCTGACTGCCCCCCTGGCATCACCTAAGCTTCTCACTGCTGACACCTCCTGATTCCATGTCACGTCATGAAACCACCTATCCTCCTGACACATCCTGACACCGAGCGAGTGGGGCCGCCCCCGCCGCCCTTGGCACGAGTGCAGCGAGGCCCCGAAACCAATCTCCTGTCGTGCGCGCTTCGCGCCCAGGCAGACTACCCGAGGAATATGCAAACTTGCCGGTGGCCCAGCTAGAAGGCCGATTTCGAGAATTGTTTTCGTCGCTCTGCCTCTCTCGCATTCATGAGGTGCGCCGTCTGGGTGCGAGACAGAGCGACAAAGCTTTGTTGGCAATCAGACTCCCAGTTTGTGGTCACGAAAACAAGGTTGCGGTCATGCAAAAACGCTTCAAATGCGCCCTTTTAGCAATAGCAATAGCAATAACTATAGCAATAGCTATAGCGAATAAACTGTAGCTATATCAACAGCAATAACTGCCTATCAGGCGCTAGCTATTGCTATTGGCTGCCGATCAGTTCGTCGCCGTGTAGTTGTTCATTTTCTCACTGTTCAGTGGACAACTGACTTATGTTTCAGCTCTGTGTTAATAATTTTTTACGTCAAATTTTTAAATCCAGCGCGAGAAATGTGTAAGAAGGAAGAAGGAAGAGAAGATGTACTCAGAAACTTTGATGATAAACACACTTTAATGTCGGTGGAGTGTTTCTCCACATTATTTTGCCAAGTTAACAAACTGATGTTAGCACCCAATATTTTTTTTTGGTTTCAGCATACGACTCCCTTCCACTCAACAATCGAAACATGATACTTAATACCTTGTCAAAAAGTCCATTTCCACAAAATTCAATCCTTACAATAAATACATCAAACCAAGATAGAGAAACAGAAGGTATGCCACGCATGCAGCCCGCAACAGTGCTGTTGGACTGGCCGAAGAAAGAAATAATTTTGCTTAGAATGTGCAATGATACACACAAGTTTAGCTCTACCTCAATGATTGCAAACGCCACTGAGTCTAGGTAAATATGAATGGGAGACACAAAATTGACTCAGGAATGGCATCGGATTTTGAAGATGAGAATTTTGGTTGGTTGATTTTACAACACTTGATGAACTTAACAAGGTTCAAATTAAAGATTGTTGGGGTTAAAAAAAAGTGGCTCTCAAATAATTTGAATAATTCCTCAGCTCAGACACAACTTAACAGTCACAGTCAATATAAAAAAAATTTAAAAAGCCTAAACATGTGCACTTAAAAAAGAGGAAGAATACACACTGAGAAGATCAGGTACAATCTCAAAATATACTCTTGTGGCAGAATTTGTGCATTCTGACACACGTTTTTGGTTCATTTTAAATTTAAGACAATATTTTTTTCAGAATACAGAAAGAAAAGAAAAAAGATGGAGCTTTGGAAGTGGGGTGTAAACTGATGTAATTAATAAAGGACTTGACCAGGACTACGTCAGCCGAAAAATTGCAAGACTCAGACATCTCATTGATAAAGACTATTGACTGTATTAAGAAAATTGCATGCTTTCATTTATACATTTAAGAAAACAAAATCACATAAAGTTACATGAGAGTGAACGATAGAAGTCGCAAACAGCTAACACACAAGTTGCAAACTGACACATCACCATCATTCAATAAGAGGAGTCTGCCAGTTCTAGTGGGGATATATAACTAAACATCTCTTCCCACTTCAAGTATAAAGTATACATTAGCACTGAGAAAACTGCATATGCATTAACAACACTGAACACAGTAAGATATGGTAGTCCTAAAATAAAACCTTTACAGTAATACTGAAAGACTGCCACTGCCTCTTTATTCTCAAACACTTGTAACCAAAGCGGAATAGTTAACACAATGACCTAAAAAGGTCTTGTTGAAAGAGTTTTTCACTGAGTACAACAAGAACTCTTGAGGTAAAATAAAAAATGAAAGGAGAATTTGTATTGCCAAACCAAGGAAACAAAAGAGAAGATAATGGCAAACCAGTCAAGCCAATATTTGGCACAATGGTGGCTTAAATTCTACAATTATTAAAACATAACAATTGATAAGGTAGAATTAAATTTTTGCACTTTCATACCGGACAAGTGGCAGCAGAGAACACTACCGTTAGCAGATTGTATCACATGAATAGGGAACATTGGGGGAGAAATGTGGTGAGAGAGTAACCTTTGCAGTTTCACTTCAGCCACCTAATGATATCCCCAAAACAAATCATAGAGGTAAAATATTCACAACAATAACGAAACACGATCTCAAACTCAAGATAGCTGAGTGAATTTAATCTTTTAAACAACTTATAAAGCAAGGGCTAAAGAGTCCATGCAAATATATCACTGCAAAAATGGGAACAAAAAAATCTCATAAACACTTGAAACCTTACATTTGGTAGTCATAATACGCACCAGATGTAAGTTCAACAACAGTTCAAAAATCAGTATTTACTAAACAAAATTGACTAGGAAGATTTTGAACAATACAAGGTAATTTTTGGCATAGGACTGAAATAAAAATAACACTGATAAAAGCTGTTAAAGAAATAAAGATGCATACAAGAGAAGTAAAGTAATAACACGTCTTTACCACAGAGAGCAAATAGTGAAGGGCAATTACAATGGCTGAAGGCAGTAAGTTTACTTGAAAATTTCAGTCGGGTAAGACAACAACAGACTAATTTCTGGGTTTGGCCTCGCTCTGTCCAACATTTCTACTATTGCAAAGATACTACAAGGATAACAAACTTAAAATTATACAGTTTGATAGTGATGTCTGAGCTCTCCAAAAATTCCTTCAAGTTGCTTCTTCATGAACAATTTTGACCAACAAGTAAATAAGATATTCTGGGATAGAAAATTCAATTTTCTAGCCTTTGCAAAGTTACATAACTCATGTCATCCATAGCCAAAACACTGGTTTTACAGTCACAACATACATTAAGATAGGTATAGAATTGTCAAGTAGCTAGTCCACAAGAATTATTGCATTTTTAGAGACACAAAAGTCATAGAAAATAAATTGGAAATTTTATAGGAAAGTAATAACATAACATTGATGGTCGCATCAAGGAGATGATTTCCTCATTTGTTTCTTCGATTGTCTGAGGCAAACACAAAGAACACACATGGTCTGAACTGCAGAAAAAATACCACTTGAAGGAACAGCAGGGAAAAAACATATAATGGTGACAATGAATGAAGAAGTTTAAAAAAAGAAAAATGTGATGATCTGGTCCCCATACAATATGTATCATGATTCATTGTATTGATGTCGACTCATTCAATGATCATCTTATTACAGGAGAAACATGATAAAGCATCAAGAACATTTTTGAGCTCTCTTTTTTGTTTGTTTGTTACTTTCGGCTAGTAAACAGGTACTCTGGTAAACACTCTTGAACTTTTCTCTTTCCATCACACCACACAAGATCACTTAGTCAAATCTATGTTCTCAGTTTAAAAGAATAACAGATGGAAAAAGGACCATGGTGTGTCAGAAATTTTTTCAAATGGAGACGATGGGGAAAGAGGATAGGTTCAGATGGCCCTTTATAGAATTGCACAACATAAGAGAAAAAAAACGCACATTATAAATACAAAAAAAAATACACGAGCATCGTTTTAAAGATAGAGGAAAAAGTAGATGAAAGATTTGTTTTGTGCAATGTCACTAGCCCATAAAATAGACCGCGCTGATCATCCAATGGCGCTCTATGATGAATAGAAGTATTATGTTAGTATTGCGAGATCTCATGACCCTCAGATAACACAACCAAATCCTTTTTTCAATTGAGCAAAAAAAGAAAAGAAAAAGTGGTGGCTTTGTGTAGTCACAGTTACAACATTTAGAGATTTAAAAGTAGAGGTTCTTTTGACTATGGCTAACATTAAAATAATGTCATAAATAGTTTAAACAAACAAAGAAACCAAATAGAATTGTTACTCATTTAACAGCATCATGTTGTCATCAAAATGAAGTGCAGATTGATGCACAATACCAAGACCAAAAAACAGAAAATCGAAAACAAAGCCAAAATTTTGCCAGGCAAATCGTCATAAGTGACTTTAAGGCTTTGCCCACCAAGTATCTTAAAATGGGCTGTAAAAAAGGCTTAGACCTGTAAATCTCTGATCTTGAGCATGAAAATACCATTCAAAGTACATGAACTCCAAATGATGTACAATAACAAGATGTACAGGTCCAACACAAATGTTAACAACTATAACCGATGTCTCATCACATATTCATCTAATCCTGAATTCACGTAATACAACATTCGGTCCATCATTTCTAAAAACGCCACATTTGTTAATAAATAGAACAGAACAAACACATACAAACAACAACATGAAAAGAACATACAAAGGAAAACACTTAATCTGTATCTACAATTATAGGACACATTATTGTTTGATTTTGAATTTTACAACATACACTTGTTGGCAGTTTGGAAGTGATCTTTCCCTTAGCGTCAATATTATTATTTTTATTATTATTTATTGAACTTCACAGTCTATTTCCTCCAATGGAATAATCTGGAAGATTAACTCAAAACCACTAACACCCATAAACAGGAGTCCTAGAAGTTTATGAAGGTTTCACTTCAACAACAGTTTCATAAAGTTTTGGTGGATTCTTGAACAAGGGTTGACTTGGGGTAAATTGTCAATGAACACTTGCTTGCAAGGGGTTGCAGAAATTAGACCTCCTCTGGTGAACGCGGTCCTGGACAAGCAAACCAAACGTTACATTAATTTCAGAAACAAACATTTGACTAAACCAATTTCAGAATGTTTCTCCGAAAATACTACTAGGAAACAAGAACAGAATATAACGAGCTGCTCTTTAACACACCTGATTGAGTGGCTGCCAACATTTCTACAGGCAGGGAACCTCTCCTTCGAGCCAGTAGGGGTTCAAGCACAGGGGCTGGGTCCGCCACCCCCATGCGTTGGACGAGGAGCACCTCGCGGCGCCAGCGCTGCCAGGTGCTGCTATCTACAGTGCAGTCGGTCAGAAACAGCTCGGGGCCTCCAGAACTGCGCCTGGAAACAGCAACCACATGAGTCATGATCCACCAACGGCTCCGTTGGATGCACATTTTGATTTCCAGCGTTGCCTTGATCACATACCTGCGCAGAACTTTCTTGACCCGGCTGTTTCTGGATTTACCATTACTGTTATTGTTGTTATTGTTGTTGGTATTGTTGCTTGATGAGCGCCCTGGTCCGGAAGGCTGCTCTGTCAGTCGGCGCAACAGTTCCAAGCTGATATCCGTTGGAACGGAACTACGACGCACATCCAAGTAATGCAACTGCCTATTCACCTACAATTGAGAAACAAACCAAAAAATTGTAACCCAGAAAATGAAGGTAAAACACTTATGGTTGCATCTTTGGTAGCCTCGACTCACCCATGGTGCACCAACTGACACAGAAGTAGACGCAGGAGAACGAACTTTCTTGTCAGGTGCAGCGAGACGATGAATTAAGTCAGCACTAAATGAGTAATTAGATGGCAACTTGGATTTTTCTTGTGGCCATAGTAAAATCCCTCCAACTGGATCCCAAAACACACTTTTCTGACAGTTTCCCTCACTGTCCTTCAATCCAAATCCTGGAAGTCACAACCGAATTAATTAAATTAAGTTCAGCAGTGTTGAATGAGTGCACTGTGAATAAGTAACTTGCCTGCTGGGGCTGTTACAGGAGTGCTGGCTGGGCTGGATGAGGCTGGCAGACCTTGCGACTGCCTGGCAAGATCATGAGGCAGAGAGGACTGCCGTGGTATTGTATTGCTGGATGTAGATTGATTGAGCGATGTGGTGGCTGTTTGTAGTGGCTGAGCAGGGGGGGAGAAGCAGCCAAGATTCTCTTTGGAAGCCAGAGGTCTTAAAACACCTGCATAAGCGAAGCCAGACAGCAACACAACTAATATTAACAGCAAATTAGCAATCTAGCATGAAAAATCACATCAGAGCGAGTCAAAAATTATTAACGTTCATGTACTGTACATTAGTGAGTAAAGAAAGAGGCACAGTTTTAGTTTGCCTTTTAATTAGATCCAATAGCACAGCAGGAAATTTAAGTATGAAAAATTGTCCATATTATCTGTAATTATCGCAATTAATTTTTTTAAATGGGAGGAAATTTAGTTAATGACAAACAAAAACCAAAGTCCATGCAAGTTGTTTGACTGGTTGTCAGTCACGTCAACTAGTTGATGGATGCAGGTGGGTTGATCTGCCTACTCCTAAAGATGAGTTTTGATATAATTTCTTTACGAATGCATTGGAGCAAAGAGCTGTGTGTATAAATTAAATAAGACAACAGAAACAATCTGAACACAAACTAACAGTGTTTGCATCATTTGAGCTTCAAGAACTAATGCTATGAAGCAGTATGAAGCAATAATAATGGTTAATGTTTGATAAAACCGTAAATAAAAAGATGAGCAAGTCGAACTATACCATATTAATCCTCATATGAAAAAAAGGAGAAAGTGTGAATTTGAAACTGGACACTTCCACCAGAATGAGAACAGCTCTAACATAGAGAAAGGTAATTCTGTTCTTCTCAAACTATATCAAGCTTCTTTAAAAAACAAATAATAATAATTATCAGTCACATGATCACAAGGGCAGGTTGCATGCATTACATTCCCTCCATGGTATTTTGACCTCAATATTCTGGAAAACACAGAAAAATGATGTTCATCCATCTCAGGAAAAGATACTCTCCACCATCAGTTACCGTTGAAGTAGCAATTAACATGCACCATTTAGTTAAAACATACAAAATACTTGTAAAAATAACTACTTAGACATGCAACCAAAGAAGTTTAACTCTATTTTGGAGGAAAAGGAATAACTTTCAGATCAACATTACAAAGAACATTTTTAGAGTGTGTGAAGAATGGCATCTGACAAGAATAAAATGCGTGCAATCTGCCTTACGGGTTTTCGTGGTGTGTTTTTGCCATGTATGCCTATGCAAGAAAGCTGAATTAAGATTTTCTGCCTATGCAAATTCATGAGGTGTTAAGAGAACAAGCTCTGTTGTTGTGAGTAAATAAAATTGAATGAGATGTCGCCCGTGTTGACATAGGCAATATAAACGTTACTTAATTTTATTATAAAAAATGAACAGATAAACAGTTGAAAAAGATGGGAGGATGGCTGTTCCTATACAATTGTGATCACAAGTGAATGATGATAATAAATAAATATGGCAATAACAAGGAAAAAACAGAAGTTGATATAAGTACGTACTAACAAACCATTGCATGCTGGACTGACTACAATAATACACAATGAAATTCTCCACAAGTGATATCTTGCCCGCTGCATAGTTATTATTTCAGCAATGTAACAATTTGGGGACTGGGGGAACACCATTGGAGGACATTGCAGAGGATAACCCATTAACGATTTAATGAGAAGAAAAATAAATTGGTATAAGCCCGAAGTTGGAAGGAAGTGTGATAGGACAGTCGAAAGTATTAGTATTAGTTCAAACTTCATAGACATATTAATCGGAATGTGTTAAAAATTATTGTATTAAGTTAGACAGAAAATTGGAAAGAACATGTTGGGTGCTAATTAAAATTTAGAAATGTGCTTAATGTTGAATTATTAAGGATTTTTATATGATGACCAACAATAGGCGCTTCCAAAACAAAATTAAGACTATCAAGTTATGAAATTATAATGTTTAACACAGAAATCAAAATTGTTTAGAAAATTACAACCAGATGAAAGGGCTCAAGAAGTGCTAGGAAGCAAAAAATCAAACTCATGTGCAAAAATGAAAACTCTGAACAAAAAGAGAAAACGAATTCACAGATGCATTTGAAATTTGCGAATTCACGGCAATTATACTAACACCAGAATGCAGAGTGGTGCAATGGGAATGCAAGAGCAAGATACACATATCATGATGGCAGGATAGGATGGCAGCTTTTAGCTTTTGCCCATACTACTTGGACAAGACTTGGGCCAGGAAGGTGTAAGTATGATTATGTACAACAAATGTTTGTCCAATAATTCAGCACAAACCATCACACATTGATACTGAAACTACATAACTATCTACACACAGTACATGGCAAAATCCAACCAGTGATACACTGGAGGGGAAAAAAAGGCACTGTAAAGAACAAGAGGTCTCAAGACTTTAGGACGTTTTAGGATGGTAGGAGAGCATCATTTCCAGTAAACAGAAAAACACATCAAGTGGCATCAGAATACAGGCACTGGCACAACCATTTCTGCTTATTGAGAGAGCAAAAAACAGATGTATCCGCAGATACTTCCATTTCTTCTAAAAATATGCCTCGAATGTCTGAATAATTACTTTCTCCCCTCCCAAGATTGTTTTCTTTCTATCTCAAATAACTCATGTCCTCTGAGCCAGTCCACTTATTTGGCAAGAAATAAATACTATTGCACTATAGGTCGCACAAGTCCTTCTCCACCACCACCAGCAAACAACAGTGCTCTACTTAAACTGGAACAGTTCCTACTTTGACGGGAGATGTCGATTGGAACAGAACCCCTTCGAGAGAATCTTTCCGTTCCAGGTCTCAGGTTAATAGACACACCAGGTGGCACATCTTCTCGGGGGCTCAAAGTCACTGGGGCTGAACCTCTTCTTAGCACAAGACCCTGATCAGAGCAATGAAAGGTAAAGCTTTAGATAACAATCTATTGAAAATGTGAACAAAGGCTCATAAAACAAACAACACTACCCACCTGAGGAACATTTCTACGAACACTGCTCACACTGGCGGCTGTACCCGAAGTACTGCTCACAATATCACATTGAGGATCAACATTTTCCTTGTGTTGAAGTCGTAGAGCAGCTGCCGCCAAAGATATCTTCTCTGCTGCATTAGGGTCTGAGAGGGATAATCTTGCAACTTTGCTAGCCTTTGCTTTGTGGTCACTTGATTGTTCTGCAGGCTCTGACCGCTTGACAGCAGATTGTAAGCTTGGGTCCACTGCTGAGGACGTTTGTGCATTATTCGTACGAAGTGACTTTGTCCATTGGGTGGGTGGAGTGTTGCATCCATTGTGGCCACACTTTAAAAGAAGCAGAGAAACAATTGATATGAATCAACCACATTGAAAAAGATAACATTCAGTAAAAAAATACAGGCAGTAAAATAAAGAGCAGGAAGTATCACATAAAGGATGTGTTTCCTCCTACAGGCAAATGCATTCACTGTACACAAGATCACAACCAAAGGGTACTTGTTCAGCAAAAAAACAACACAAAATGAGGCAGATTAGAGACGGGATAATTCAGAGTCCAGTACACACTTGTGCTAGAACACCAGACAAAATATGTGCAGTGTGAACAAAACAAAAAACAGAAAAAAATCTCAAAATTGAAATGATATCATGCAGTCGAGGCCCTTTTTGTGCTTCATATGCAAGTTGCTTTAACACAAGCAGATGGTAGGTGTTGTAGTTTCAGGAGTACAAAGAAACAGAGACAGGCAACTCCTCAAAAGGTCACGAAAAGGCTATTTTTACATATGCTAATATTTAAACAAGAATAGATCAAATCCTACAGAGCTGTAAGGGATATTGCATTCAATCAAAATTTAGTTGGAAGTTTCTGGGAGAGTTTTAATTTGATGCATCCAACTTTGCTAAGAATTTGTTGAAGCAGTAGCAACTTTCTGAGACTTTCACTCTTAAAGACAGAGAGACATAAACTCAAAAGATAGAGGAACTTGTAAAGAAAAGAAAGAAGCATAAGGTGAGGAGATATTGGATTGAGCTAGATTTTGGCATTTGACAAGAATAGAACAAGGGGAGCAAACGGCTAGGCACTGACCGGTGATCCATCCTGTTTAGGAAGCGCGGTGCCTGTAAGTTCTGTTCTACTTGAACTGGATGAACTACTAGTAGTGTTTGCAACTCCTTCAGGACACGTTGACATCTCAACGGTGGTGGACATGTATCTTGCTCGTACATAGGGCTGAACTGGTGGGAAGGTCTGTTGCCTTGTTAGACTGCGAGGAGGAGCTAATGTACCAGGAGAAGTTGCACTACCATTTCCTCCATGGAGCACCTAAAAATTGATTTATCAGTGGCTTACATTTCTACGAACTAGAATGAACTTGGCTCATGTGCTAAGGTTGTGCTGGGGACTTACAGTGGACAGTCTGCTGGCCTCTGTGCTGGTTGTTATTGATGCAATGCTTGGCTCTGGAAGAAGGTTTTCAGCGCTTACTGGCCTCTCCCCACTTCGATCGGCTCCCATGGATGAAGAGCAGGACGACTGAAGTGAGAGTTGTGAATGTGTAAGGAAGTCATCCAAAGCCACATCGCCACACGAATTTTCATCTTCCTCCAAGTGAAGTACAGGAACTAGGGTGAACCGCCTAGTTGTTCCTCTGTCAGACGACTGCAAAGAAATTAAGCGGTGTTCAATGTGTGCTTCTTCAAGCACATCTGAAAGTAGAAAAGCACAGGAGAACACATACCATTCCACCAACTTCTGTTCGGACAATTGTCTTTGGCAAAGATCTGCTTAGAGGAACTGAGTGACGTCGGCCTATGGTGGATGTAGTTCCAGAAGTACACTGGTCTGGTTCATAAGATTCTGCAGGGAGAGATGGTCTTCTTGGAGATTCTGAAAGAAGATGTTCTTGGCTGCCCTTGCCATTGTCATCAACATCTTCATCTGCGTCTTCACAAAGCTTCTCAGCCTCTGCAACCTGTGACTGATCAAATGGACAAGTAAAATTAGCAACCTGAGCAACCATTAAGGGGAACCGCAAGGTTATGTTGGTCTGTCTGCAAGAGGTCACTGCAACATCAATCCTGACCATTATCATAATATCAAATGACCTTACCTCAGCATCGGAAATCTCTGTTCGGATTTCTTGGTCAGCTTCTTGCTGGCAAAGAATATCCCATTTGGCTTGATTATTTCGGAGATGACTTATCATATTACATGATAGAGGGGTGTCTAAAAATCTGTGCCACTCCTCAAACAATGGGGCAACAACAAATTTGAAGAAACCTAGAAACAAAAATACTTTTAGGAGAAACAAAACAAAGAATCCAAATTAATTTGATTCATAAGCTACAGTACAGTACCTGCTTGTATTTTTGGAACTGAGTTTGTTGTACGGTCACATAGAGAAGTGATCGGCAAATTAAGCTGGCGCTCATAATCTCCCTGTCGGAAAAATTCTTCACAGACTTTCTGACTCCATTTGCGGCTAACATCCCATGGTCGGCAAGGATTTGAAATATCGGCACATTTCAAGGCTATTTGGAGAATGAAATGTCGGTCTTCATGCTTGGTCATATCAAGAGATTTGTCGTCAAGATATTTCTGAAAAGAAACAAAAATTTCAGTAAATTCAGCGACTATAAGACAGCACGGTAGCAAAAATGGTAATGTTGGCTACCTTAAATTTAGTAAGGAATTCCTGTTGTCGAGTTATGTCAGTAGCTAAAATGAGCGATGCTATTTGTTCTTCCATTTCTTTACGACAATCCTTCAACTGATCAGCGAGATTGCTTTCCAGCAGACAGCCCACAGCACTGCGCCAGTGGTGGTTCTCCAGAACCGATGTATTCTGAAATGATAGTCATCCGTCAGAAAGTCCATCCAAACGAAACAACGACATAAACAGAAAAGAAACACAGAGACAACACAAGTCTGGGCAGGGCGGACAATCACAGTTCAGGCAACGCATACAAGAGGGCTGGTGTGCATGGGACCATGGGACGACATGAGATAGGACATCCGCCAGAGGAGGCTGCTGGACTAGACTTTATGCTTCATGACCCGAAACCGGTCTAATTCGAAAGGAGTCCACTAGTGGAGCCCCGTCAGGCAAAGCTGGCTGGTGGTCGGGGGGAAGGGGGGGGGGCGTAGCACACGGCAGCACACACGGGGTGGCCGGCCGCGCGGCCAGGGTGGAGGTGGAGTACAGTGGCTCAGCCACGCCGCAGCCTCACACCCAAAGTGAGCCCTGGGCGAGTGCGCCCCGCCCGGGTGCTCCCTGGCCGGCGGCCGGCCGCGCTTACCTCTCGCCCTTGCCTGTACTTACTGGCCGTCTTACCTCGTACAGCGCCGCCAGGTGGTTCGAGGTGGCGATGAGGAAGGGCTGGTTGACGCCGGGGTGGTCCAGGTCGTGGGTCACGGCGGCGATCAGCGACGCCATGATCTCCAGCGGCGTCATGTACTTACGGATCTGGAACGGCCAGAGAAACAGAAGGTGAGAGAAAGTGAGCGAAGGGAAGGCCAAGAATCGATCCAAGATCGAAGGTCGAATCGGCGTCGCTCACCTTTTCTTCCTGCAGAAAGCAGTGCATCGCTTGCGTCACGTCAGTGGCGTGTATCGAGTTGTGGTAAGGGTTGTTGCCGTGATAGCCGTCCTCCACCAGACCTGCGACACACACGAAAAACAGGCAGGAGTATTATTTTTTGCCTCATCATCATCAACGCCAACCCCGGGGGCCCAACCCCACAGCAAGCCAGCCGGACGGTAAGCCCGGACAAACATCCCATTTTCCATTTCGGCTTTCGCCGCCACAATTTCCTCATAGCCTCCCGTTTCCGTCGTGGTCCAACCCCCGCGTGTCTCACCCCGGCGTGTCTCACCCCGCGTGTCCACCCCGGCGGTACTCACCTCGGCCGTGTCTCACCCTCCACGGCTCTCACCGCCAGCGTTCTCAGCCTCCGGCGTGTCTCACCCCTGCGTGTCTCACCCCGGCGTGTCTCACCCCTGCGTGTCTCACCCCGGCGTGTCTCACCCCCGCGTGTCCCACTCCCGGCGGCTTACTTCTCTCTTCTCGCCACTTTGGTCGGCGCTCCACGCGCTCCACGCGCTCCACGCGCTCCACGCGCTCGGCGCGCTCCGTGTCGTGTCGCGCTGTGGCGCCACCGCACCCCGCCGCGCTTCCTGCCCCGGGCAGCCAATCACAGCAGCGCTTCCGGCGCGGCGGCGAAGCCCGCCACTTTCAACCGGGCGGGCAGGCAGCCACTCGTCCTGCCGCGCCGAGGGCCGCCCTGGGCCGCCCGCCCACGACATAATCAATACGGATCCATCGACGGCGACGCGCAGGAAGATAACCGCGCCGCCCGGAAATGGGCAAGCGGCGAGCGGGAAAGCGGCGGCGGATAGAAATAGACCAATACGAGGAAGCGGTGGCGGATAGAAATAGACCAATACGAGGATAGAGACGTCAAATTGGCGCGGCCATTCATCGGCCAGCGGCCAGCGGGAAAGCGGAAAAGCGGCGGCGAATAGAAATAGACCAATACGAGGATAGAGGATAGAGACGCCAAACTGGCGCGGCCATTCATCGGCCAGCAGGAAAGCGGAAAAGCGGCGGCGGATAGAAATATACCAATACGAGGAAAGAGGATAGAGACGCCAAATTGGCGCGGCCATTCATCGGCCAGCCCGCCAGCCCGCCACACACGAATCAGGAATCAGGCCCGCCATAGAAATGGTGGGCCAGAGCCAAAGGCTAGTCCAGAGGTCAGCCTCTCGCTGTCGTCGCTCTGTCTCTCTCGCGCCCCCAGTGGACCAGACTGGACGCCCCAGGAGTGCGAGGGAGGCCGTTCGGAATGAACCTGCAGGCAGCCCCGGCGAGGTGGTCAAGGCGGGGTCGGCGGCTTTCTTCGGGAAAGCGCCGAGCCAGGCGAGCGCGGCGCGGACGGACACTCGGGACAGACACTCGCGAAAGCGCCAGGGGGCAGAGGCGCCACTCCACTCGACAGTTCGGTTCAAACACCGCTGATTGAACCGACGCCCACACCTGCCGCGCCTACACGGCCCACTCCGTCCGAGTCAGTCGCACTGCGGGCCGATTCTCTCTCTCTCTCTCTCTCTCTCTCCTTCTCGTCCCTAAGACAGCCTAGGCTGAGAGAGAGAGAGAGAGAGAGAGAGAGAGAGAGAGAGAGAGAGAGAGAGAGAGGAGGGGGAGAGAGAGGGGAGAGAGAGAGAGAGAGAGAGAGAGAGAGAGAGAGAGAGAGAGAGAGAGAGAGAGAGAGAGAGAGAGAGAGAGAGAGAGCGGCCCAACAGTTTTAGCGGAGCCGACACGCCCCTTTGTACTCCTGGCCCGCAGCAGCTCCATTCCCTCGTCACTCTGTCTCTCTCGCACTCACGGGGCGCCGCGGAGGGGCGAGGGAGAGAGACCGCTGCGCGCGTGCGGCGGGAAAGCCAACTTGCTCCCTCTAAGCTCCCGCCAAGAACAAAAGCGAGGCGGCAGCCGCGGTACTCGAACCCCAGTCCCTCCGCGCCGAGCGAGCGACCCTCACGGAAAAGTTGTCGGCAATGGTCATTGTCATGGAGATACGTGGCGCTACCAGTGGCCCGGCAGGGCGGCAGGGCCCAGGGCACAGTGGGCCAGAAGACCGGTGGAGGCGGTCGAAACTCTAGACGCGTTTTGAGCTCCAGAGTCGGTAAACAGGACTCGAACCGAACGTGTGACCCCACCAATGGATTGCTCTCCGAACGAGGAATCCATGGTGGGGTCGGACGTTCGGTTCAAGTCCCATTTAACGACTCTGGAGCTCAAAACGCGTTTAGAGTTTTGGCCGCCTCCACCGGTCTTCTGGCCCACTGTGCCAGGGCCAGAGTCCGTCCCTTCCGCGTGGGCGGCGCTGGGGGCGTGGAGGCGCGGGGTGGTCGATGACCTTCACGATCGCTCCGCCAGCTCGCTGTGCTCGCCGGGCCCGGCCGACGGTTCTGTGAGGGTGACAATTGGGGCCAAAGAGTATCGCCAGGACCCGCCCCGCCCCGCCCGGCCCGGCGCGGCGGCCAGTGGGATCATTCCCAACAGTGCTTCGAGTCGCTCTGTCTCTGTCGCACCCCTGCGCGAGGGGGCGGCGGCCGGGCGGCGGCCCCGACTAAGCCCCGACCCACGCAGTCCGGCGCAGCCCCGCCCGCGCCATCCCCATCCGGACGCGGCCGGGGCGGGGTGCGGCGGGGCGGGGCGGGCGGGGCGGGGCGGGGCGGGGCGGGGCGGCGTGGACCATTAAGAAAGGCAGGGCCAGGCACGCCCCCAGCGAGGCCACATAACTCCCGACGGTGCACCCACTTCAGTTGCAGACAAATTCCAGTGACGAGTTCATTTTTGACGAATCGAGGGCCAAATGTCGAAGGATTTCAGTATGAAACAAACTCAGTTTATCTCGTGAAAAAAAAGCCTCGACGGTTTCGTTTTGACAAGTTTTACTGAAATTTGCAAGTGTGGATGAATTTTGCTGTGAAAATGCTTTGGAGCTGACCCCTTGGATGTGCGGATACCCGCGCGGCGCCGTCACGCAACGTTTCCCGCTAGAATGCCACGATTTAAGCTCATATCCCGTCAGAAAGAACAGTGGACCGTTCGGAAACTTGTACGGCCTTTCCACGCCCTGCCCTCTGCTTGGCGGTCTGCTTGGCAGGATTACTCACTGAAAAGTTTCCAAACGCGGACGACGTCCAGCTTGAAGTGGTCCATGAGGCCGTACCAGTGGAACAGGTGGACGCAGAGCACGGGCAGAGAGCGACCTGCGAAGCGAAAAGGAGAAACAAACACAACCCGTCAAAACAAGGGGCCAACTTGATGAGGAAAAGATTGGTCCGGCCGGGAAGTGGACATGCGGCCGCCTTCGCCGTCCCTTCCCACGCATGCGGGGAACCGTCGCCGAGTCAACAGTGGACGCCAGAGAGGGCCCCGCACAGTGCGCCAGAAGACCGGTGGAGGCGGTCGAAAACCCGAACGCGTTTTGAGCTCCAGAGTCGCCATATGGGACTCGAACCGAACGTGTGACCCCACCAATGGATTGCTCTCCGAACGAGGAATCCATTGGTGGGGTCACACGTCCGGTTCGAGTCCTGTTTAGCGACTCTGGAGCTCAAAACGCGTCTCGAGTTTTGGCCGCCTCCACCGGTCTTCTGGCCCACTGCGCGGCGGTCTTGGCGGCCGGCGGCGCGTCACTCACCTCCGGTGACCGTGTCCAGGGCGAAGGCGTTGAAGGGCCAGGCGGACACGCGGTCCAGCACGCACTGCACCAGGCCGTGGTGGATGTCGTCCAGCAGGGCGGGGTGGTGCTGCAGGCTGCGCGTCGTGGGCCGCCGCCGCCGCCGCTTGTGCATGGTGAGGAAGCGGCCCGTGTGCAGCGGCCGCGCGCGTCGCGTGTCCAGCGCGCCCAGCAGCACCCAGTCCAGCGAGGAGACACGCGCCGTGGCCGCCACGCCGCCCTCCGCGCCGCCCGCGCCACCGTCAGCCTCTGCAACAGGGAGGGGGACACTCGTCAGCTCAGACACTCGCGGACTTAGCGGGCCACCTGCACCCCTGCACTGCAAAAATTTAAAAAAATAAATGAAAAAATTCACACACACACACACACACACACACACACACACAAGTAAACAAACAAACACACACACACACACACACACCGAGGTTGAGTCCGGAAAATGGAGAGCGGAGAAAAGGACGGACCTCCCGTGGCTGGATCTCCGTGGTCCCCATAAAGATCCCACGCAAACTGGTACGGAAAACGCGTACCGAGCCTGTAGTTGTCACGGCAGTACGGATAAATAATGAACCCAAGACGTGCTCCCCACTTTTTTCTGTACTCTTTTCCCTCGTAATGCGGTACAGACTACCGCCAGCTGCTAGCGGGCGAGTTGTTGCGGGACAGAAAAGAGAGTGGGCTCAGCACACTCCAAGTTTGAAAAAGAAAACAAAACGCTGCCGCCGCTGTTGCCTCGGGGATCGGGTTTCTGTCCCTCTCGAACTGCCCCAGATATATACGTCGCTGGGATACAAGGATTTCGTTTGGAACGGCAGCCCGATCCAGGGAAAAAATACGATCATTAATCACGGCCGAAGTGGGGCAGCAGGCTCGGATAATATAATCACTGCCAATTCCCCCTAGCTCTCTTCCAAAAAAAAAGGAGAAACGGAGTCGGGGAAAAATCACGCTTGCATACATAAATCGCTTTGCAATTGATAATTGAAAATGACGTCGACAAGTTTGAGAGGCCTCCTTCGAACGGTTGTAATCAACTCCCCACCCCCCCCCCTTCCCGCCACCACACTGTGCACCCTAATTGGATGACGGCGAAGGCAGCGCGGCATTTTCTATTTTATTCGTTTTATATTGCAGCTCCGAGCGACAGCGGCAAAATGGCCGACGGGACATTTTTTTAATTGCGGCCTCTCGTTCCTGTGCGACTTTCAAGCGCAGCGGTGGGCCGCACAGTGGGCCAGAAGACCGGGGTGGAGCGGTGGAGAGAGACCGCGCACCGATAACCACGTAACGCGGGTCTCCAGAAGTGGACGTATTGGGACCGCGTGCTCACCGGGCCGCGGAGCCGCAGAGCCACACGGCAGGGGAGGAGGGGGAAGGGGGGGGGGCACCAGCGCATTAAAGTTGCACGACCACTTACACTTGGGGGAACACCGAGCACACCCCGGCCGTCGGCCACCGGCCTCTCCCCGGCCTAACCGGCCGGACCTTTTACAGTGCGGCACCACCGGGCACCACCACCGCGCGGAGGGGAGCGGGGCGGGTTGGAAAATACGCGGGCGGGGACGCGATGGACCCCCCCCCCCCCCCGGGGCCCCCTCGCAAGGCACACACAACAGGTACCCCCAAACACACAGACGCGCCGACATTTACTCGCGCGCCGACGCGGCGACGCGGCGGCAGACACACCAGGCACAAACACAGGAGTATCTGGGGAGTATAAATTGTCCCCCATTTCTCTCTCCCCTTTCATCGGCCGAGTCTTTGTTTCTACCTGCCGCCGGCAAACGCGCGGCGGGCCGACTTTTGCAAAGGGAATGAAATGAATGAATGCATGAATGAATGAAAAGAAATGAAGGAAAGACATCGCCGTTTATTCCCTCCGTGAATCCTTCATTATCTTTGCCGAGGGCCTCTTTATGAGCTCAGAGACTCTCTCTCTCTCTCTCTCTCTCTCTCTCTCTCTCTCTCTCTCTCTCTCTCTCTCTCTCTCTCTCTCTTTTCCAGCTCGGCCCACCCCGTCATTTCCCGGCAACCTCTTCTCTCCTTTTTCTCTTCCCCGGTCGGCGAGACTGCGCAGCCAACCAAGCCAATCCTAGAAAGGCCTTTCACAAAAATACCGTCTCGTCTCGCCTACCTCCGCACGGCGCCTCCGTGGACTCAGAGCACTGCAAAACGCGGGCGCGCCGCCGATTCACACACACACACACACACGCGCGCACGTGTCATCTCAAGTGGTCTGTTCACATCACGACCACGACCTGTGTCGACCTGCTTGGCTAATTAAATCGCCGGCACCTGATTGGCGGGCCAAGCCAGAGAGAGAGAGCGAGAGAGAGAGAGAGAGAGAGAGAGAGAGAGAGAGAGAGAGAGAGAGAGAGAGAGAGAGAGAGAGAGAGAGAGAGAGAGAGAGAGAGAGAGAGAGAGAGAGAGAGAGAGAGAGAGAGAGAGAGAGAGAGAGTCACACGGCACGTGGGAGCTCACCCCTTTCCCGGAAGGCTCCAACAACAACAATGACGACAACACCGCAAGCCGCTCGGAGATGTCGCACTAGTTTGGCGGCGACTACACTGTGTGACTGTGTGTCGCACAGGTGGACGGGGCCGGCGGGGCTCCCGCATGTGGGTCGCTTCATTTGGAAGCCAGATGAGGGGCTGGATGCTGGAGACAATGGGGAGGCCCCACAAGGCCCCAGCGCGCCAGCGCTCCAGCCTCTGCTCCAGAAGCAGACTCTCTCTCTCTCTCTCTCTCTCTCTCTCTCTCTAAAACGCACCTACGCGAGGCGCCCCACGCGTGCGAGCGAGACAGAGCGACGACAGCGATGGGCTGAATCGCAGCGCTGCCGCTGACACGAGACACAAGGCCCCTGCCGGCTCCGGGCTAGGCAAACCCGCCCGCCGCCGCGCGCCCCGGGTTGCCTACCCTCCCATTTGCAGGCGTTTCGAGTGGCGCAGCGGCGCCTGCTCGGTCGCCGAGTGTCGCCGCGACATCCTTTCCGAAAGCGGAGCGATACTCCATGCGCAAGAGAACTCTTCGAACGAAGAATCCATTGGTAGAGGGTAACACGTTCGGTTCCAGTCCCCTTTAGCAACTCTAAAGCTCAAAACGCGTCCGGGGTTTAGCGCCCGCCTCCACCACAGCTTGCATTTGAGGTATGCAGTCCGAGTCCTGTGTTTGTTGTAGTTGCTTACTCGAACGCCAGAGGTCTGCTGAGGCCTAACAGCGCTGAAGATGATGATGATGACCAGTCTTCTGGCCCACCGTATGGCGGAGCGCCCGCAAACTCCAGGGTAGGCAACCCGGCGCGCGCGGCTGCGGGCGGGTTGCCTACCCGGGTCCAGGCAGGCGCTCAGCGCTCGGCGCGCAGACCACAATCCGGGGTTGCTCGCTCCGCGCGCTCCGCTCCCGCGAGGCGACGAGGACTAGGAGACTAGGACGCCCAGGGCGAGGACCTGGTCGAGTGGGCGGGCTCGGCACGGCGCGGCACGGCACGGCACGCCACGGCCGCTACGGTCCAGGGTGTTAATAATCCAAGGATCCTCGACCGGCCGGCGCGCCGCCGCCTTCAAAGTATCCCCCGGGCAGCCCTTTGTACGCGACTCGCCACGGCACGGCGCGCGCAGAGAGAGGCAAAACTAATTACTTGCTTTTCTCGCTCTCTGTCTGTCTCTCTCGCTCCCTACCAATGAGGCGGCAAGGAAGGGTCTGTCTCCCTCGCTCCCCGCCGTTGAGGCGGCAAGGCAAAGTCTGGAGGCAAAAGGCAGAGCGCGACCCATCGGCGGGGACGCACTACAGTGCACCACCACACGGCACACGCAAAGCCGGGGCCTGGACTGCTCTCTCGCACTTGTGGGGCGTCGCGTACGGTGTATGGGTGCGAGAGAGACACGCCGACGGGACCTTCCGCTCGTAATCAGTCGCGGTGGGGCGAGGTTGCGCCCGAAGTGAAAGGGGGGGGGAGTCAGGATTTATCGGCAATAATGCTTCCGCACCGCCACCTCGCGAATAGCCCCCCCCCTCCCACTTTTCCACAAAAAATCTCGTCTCCGCTTCAATTTAAAACCGCGCCCGACGGCAATATTTTCATGCAGATTCTGCACACGCTACGTGACGCGGGTAATGGATGGCGCTGAGTTGCAGGCAGCCTCAAATTTTGGGATCAGAGACAAAGTTAAATTGTAAAAGAGATTCGCGAGAGAGGAATCCATTGGTGGGGTCACACGTTCGGTTCGAGGCGTGCTTAGCGACTCTGGAGCTCTGCACGCGTCTAGAGATCTGGCCGCCTCCACCGGTCTTCTGGCCCACTGCGCGAGCTGGCCCGACTTTTCTCATTTCGCAGACAATCTGGAGACGCCGGCCCGAAACACAGGGGATGGACAAAAGGCGAACGAAACGACGCTTCAAAGGCACACGCACATTCACACACAAACACACTCCGGCCTTATTACTTGGCCACTTTCATATCTTCCTCCCCTTTTCCTCCAATTTGCGAAAGAAAAACAAACAAAATAACTCAGTGGAGGGGAAAAGGAGGGCGGGGCAACCAATGAGAAGAGAGAGGGAAGGAAGGGGGACTCACCAGCGGAGACCCGAAGCAGCACCCCACCGTCCGTCCGCTCCTCCGTCCTCTGCAACAGACAACAGCGCCATGACAAACAAAACAACAAAAGCAACATCAACAAAAAACACGCCAACATTCCGTAATTAAAATGGCCGAAATGGCCGAAATGGCCGAAACGGCTCGGCGCCCTTAGGTAACGCGTTACGCGCGCTAATCCGGAATAGACGCCGCGCACCGCGCCCGCTCGGCCGGGATAAAAATAAATCAAACAATTAGCCTCAGTTTTAGTATCGGGGTGGAGTGGGGAGGAGCCACCGGGCAAGGTACACGCCGTAAAAAAACAAGCAGCCGATCGTGAATTATAAATCAAACAGAAATCCCCATCAGCCGGCCGGGAGAGGAGAGATGCCGAAATTAAGTGCATCGGGGGATGCTGGACGGATTGGCTTGGGGGTGGGGGTAAAAGCCATCAGTGGTCAGGAACATCATTTTGGAAAGGTCGCACCGCACCGCCCCCTCGCCCGCACGGCACGGGCCGCCGCTTGGGCTGCTACTAAAAGACTTCCAACGAG